GCAGAACGCGATATACGCCATTTTGTTTCTTTTTAGAATCCTGCTCTCTCTTGGCTGCCCAAAATCAATTTCGAAGGTTGTTATAAACTTAAACAGGACTTAAGAATACAATAAGGCGAAAAAAATTAAGTTTAATAGAAAAAGTATTTATATTTTTTTTTATTCTTTAAAGTTTCATAACCGTGCAAACTCTTCACCTGTTTTCAAATGGATATGTCGCGTTTTGAAACACTTCGCAGCCATGACATAGTGCAGCACAATTTTCTGCTACGGTAACATAAGCACAACTTTTCTGCTAACCATTAAGCAGTGCTATGAAATTGGGCCCTGTATACGCCGTGTGGCATTTGGAGACTATTATGATCCACAAGTAAAAATCAGATCGATCTTGAAAGGCGACACGATATCAGCTCTGCGTAATGTGGAGTGCGTTCGAGTGCGCAGCTGCTTAAAAGATGGCGATTGAAAGCCTGATCAAAAGATATCGACGTGTTTCTTCGGGAATCCAGCTCGAATCAGGGCTGCAGGGTTGTAGATATATCTGGAGACTCATTAATCGCAAGCAACCTGGAAAAAAAAGGTCCTGGATGACGACTGTTGTGTCCAGACGAATGCTTATATTCGTGTCGTGTGTTCGTCTGTCTCGATATCTGCAGCTTGTTCCCCCTCGGGGTGTAATCGTCCTGACAGAGCGAACCGATTCCCCCGAAGGATAGGCAGGAGGTTAATTGAGCGACACGGAGGGCCCGGCGTCGCCCCACATATCCGTTCCTAGATTCACGCTCCGTGTTCTCCTAATAGCGCCCGGTGCAACTCGACTCACGGGAGCGAGATTGGATTGGGGTGTTTACGGCTTGATATTTACAAGATGCCGGTCATCGTCCTGACAACATATATGAGTTTGTTCTGTTCTATATCTGCAAAATGACTTCAAATTCTTTGAAAATGGAAAAGAAAAGTTACTGAAAGGAAAGTGACTTATTTTGAGTTAGCAAGTTTAACGATGAATTGCATTGCATGCATGAGGCTGGGAGACATCGATGATGTGCACTGCTGTGGTATCCATTTTTTCTCGACAGAAACCTTCCTTCCATCTGATGCTGTTATGAAAATGTCTTCTGGAAAAATGTTCTGTTTGTCATAGTATCTGTCACTGTTAACTTGACTTTCAACTGACGCAATTATGTCAGACAAAAAGTAATGAGCCGTCCATGTGTTTGCGGCCTCTAGAGGGCGCTCGTGCCCTGTGCCCTCTGCCCCATCCAAGGATTCTAATAATTTGAGTTCTAAGCGTATAGAAGTCTGGTTCCGCAACATAAATATTATTGACGAACCTATAGGTGCAGTAGGCGTTAATATCACGTCACCAAAAACTGAGCTGTATTTCCCTCGTTTCTGAAAGACGGTTTTATTAACCAAACAAATGCCTGCTTGTTACCCGTCCTGGACATTTTGAATTCGCGAAGCTCACATTTCCGAAATTTGATGCCAGACGTTGCCCAGCTTTTCAAAACCCATTTAGGCGTTGTGCCTGAAGTACTGCACTCGGTCGGACGAGGGCAGACGTTGCTGCATCACGTTCTATTTTCTTTAATTTGACAGTTACACCCTAGCTGTGATAGGCCTATATTAAGAGATTTCAGCAGATCGTTCGGTCTGTGAACTGCAAGCGTTTGGATAGGTATCACTTTTACGGAACCCGGGTCAACACCTGCGCGTGCGCACGACGCTTTTGCACGGAGTGTATACGTGCAAGGACATTTTTACGGATCGATCGGAAATGTGAAGTGATAGTATGCTGCGCGTTGCATCCTGGGACAGCTAGAGCAACCAACGGGGTTGTTGTGCAGTGCAAAATATCATGTCCTAGAATCCAGAGTAATAATTATATAACTTCACTGTATGGCGGCTATTTTAAAAGTGCCTATGACAGTGCGATTTACCCTCAAAGCTTTGTTTTCTTGTGAACGATAATAGCCGCCACCAACGCGTTAATTCGGAAGACGGTTGTTACGAGCAAATTATGCATCGACATAATACACTAAACATAATAATCAACATAATTACCAAAACTTCACTGCATTTTTTTTGATAAATCAATTACTGTCGCCATGGCGGAACGTGTAGATTGAATAGTGGAAAACTTCAAGTAGCCCATTTATGACCACTAGAGAAATGGTCAACGCATGTTTATAATGCATGTGCTGAGGACTATCTATTGAAAAAAAATTGCATATCTGTTTAAAGGATATAACCCAGAATTTCATCCATTTTGATACTGAAAGCTCCGTCTGATCATGGCTGTTTATTCGGATAATTTATTCAACGGAACGCCAGATGGAGCTTGAAAAACCAGCGGCAGGAACAAAATGCAGCTAGGATAATTCAGTCCGAATATAGATTCCGCCCTCTGGCGTTTTCATCAACCAATTAAACCATGTCGCTAATTTGCACAAGCCCGTGTGAGATCTCACAAGGTCGACCATTTTTCTGGCTTGAATTCCCGGTTTATCCCGGGGCGTTTTTATCCCCTCTCTATATGCGCAGACCGTTAAATTGAGCAGTCATTCAGCGTGAAATTCTCGAATTATAGAGAGTCCTCAACCGTCCCGTTTTTGGTGCAATTCCTTGGAGACTATAGGGGCAGCCAAATTGCGGGCCGCAATCGAGACCTGCTTTATATTAGGCGTGAAAACGAATCAACGGAATGGGGTGGAAGGGCGGAAGTCAAAGCGACAACAATATTTCTGCGTTAAAAAGGTCGATAGATCACGGTCATAAAGCTATTTTAGCTCTTGGCAACACTTGGCAAAACAAGCCTGACACACTTTCAGATTTGTTGTGTTTTAACAAATTATGAAATTGTAATTTTTGATTTCTGAATGTATGAAACAGATTGAAGCGACAACAGATTCCTACCGACATTTCCAACTCTCCGCCTCTCCGCCCCTCCTCCTCCCCCCCCCCAAAAAAAGCGAAAATAAGGAAACAATTAAGGTAAAAGAACAGGAAAAAAGGAGAAAAAACGGTGATTGCTATGTTCCCCCACCCCCCAAAAATAAACAAATTCTTTGCCCCTCACCCCCCCCCCCCCTTTGTAGAGTCTAGCGCCACCACTGCTCGACTTTTACCTCTGTGTCCCATGTCGGTGTCTGTAAATATCATCTCTAATTGCCTTATTCTTATTGATTTATGATAATGAAACTTTCCGTTCATGGGTAAACAGTGCTAATGTGGGCAAGAACACTTTGGTTTTATAGCACTATAGTATACATGCCAAACTTTTTCGATGTGATAACTTGAAGTCGTATATTGCCGCGTGTTTCCTCAAGACAGCCATGCAGACAATGAGCAAACTTCGTTGCAGGGTTATGATTTCTTTTTGAACTTCTACACTTAAAAGTGCCAAAACGTCTAAATAATGACAAGAACAGCGCCCTCAAGTGTCGGGAAATAGCATGGGCACTGGAGACAGTGAACCAATGCGCACTTCCTCTTCTTTTCCTTTTTTTTTTTATAAATTTCAACCAAAATGTCAAATAAGGTGGCACGTTTTCGGTTAAATCACTTAATTTAACTTAATGTCGATATGTGGTACAGAGAGCTGTACGAGAATTATTGGTGAAGCTTTGCCCATGTCGACTAGGCCTTTGTCATGTCCCACTAAAACAATAGGAGTCGCCTGAGCTTATTTTCAGTGATAGAGTAATAGGGCTTTTTGAGCAAAAGTATTTGGCCTTGAACAGATATTGTCCAATGGCAATGTGTATACATTGATCCGATTTTGAAATTAAGGTGACGGTTCTTGTAGCCATTCTGGGACGCCATGCTTGAGGGCCCATCACGTGCGTTCTACATATAGTTCTATAGCTCTGACCACGTCACTATTAAAAGAGGATGGCATTGCAAGAAATACCAAAAGCAAGCTGTGGAGCGTCCCAGTAACGGTGAAATAAACCGGTAATCACAAAAAGTGGGCAACTCAGATTGGTTTGTAGGAACAGTCAGCACCAGTTACCCACGTAATTGATATCGGAATATAACGACACCACAGTGAGCGATAGATGTAACAAAGAAGGCAAAGCCATGATGCTTCTTTCAGTGACAATAAAAGACTTAAAATAAGTGACTATACAACAAAGTCAAGTCCCCAGATCGCAGGATCCGGTCACGTTTGTAAATTTGTATAGGACTTTTTTTTAGCATGGCATGTTTTTTTCCCCGCTAAATTAAAAAAAGAAGAAGAAGAAAAAACATGAATAAAAGCAGCAAAATAAGCAGCTGTTGTATTCTGGCGATTGGTCGCATGTGATGAATCCCCTGCAGATATTGGGCTCGTGACTGACTCAGCTCAATGCGTATTTAATATTTGATGACGGTGGGCGGATGCTCCAAAGTATTCCAGTCCCCCGGAGGGGGGAGCTGAACACGATGGCTCCAGCCGGGAGCAATAGGCGCGTGATGGAGGAAGAAAAGCCTATTCCATACGGAGTCGGCATTTATGTTATTTTTTGCCTCGGCGCACGCATGACCGAGATTTGGCTCGGAGCGCTATTTATGAATCATATTATGGCAAAGATCTGGCGGTATTGCTGATTTTTTGTTTTGTTTTTCTTTCTATCTGATTTTGATTGGGGCATGTTGAACGAACCATCAAATAGAGATATAGATGGGGACGGGTTGTAGTAATGTATTTCGTCAGCCAGAAGCAATTTGGGAGTATGACGTTAAATCAGACAGGAAAACGACACTCTTGTCTGTCATCTTGATAAGACTTTTAAGGTAACTGCACAGCAAAGGTCTATGATAATGCGAACAGATTCGGCGATTAATATTATGCAAAACGAGACTGCGTCTTGACTTCGAGATTCTGACCATTCAGCGGTCGCCTTCTATCGGGTTTTCCGTAACCCGTCGTTGTATTACAAAAACATGGCATACAGTTTAACCAATCAACTCCTTAGTCCACACTTCTGATCGAAATGACGTCACAAAGTCGACTCCGATTGGCTGGCGCGTGGGGTCTCATACAATTTGCATTGCTCACTTAATATCAGACGTTGGTTAATACGGAGAGGGCTCCGTTAGACAGCAACAAACGGGTGATACTAAGACTAGGTGACGTCATGTGTAAATGTGTGGCGACTCCGTGCGTGGTACAAAAAGCTCAAAAAAATATTTGTCGTTCTGAAATTTCATATTCAAAAGCAAAAAATACTTTGTGCCGGGGACACACACATCTGATAAATATTCACAGGTTGTAAGAAGGTCACATTCACGAATGTTTGTGTTTTTCTGTTTCGTTGCAGCTCTCGTTGTTCGATACTTGACGCATCGCTTCATCGGTGACTACGATGCTAATTTAGGTAACTTTTTCCTTGCAATATTTTTTTTAATTTAATTATTAACCTTTTTGCGGTAATCTCTAGAGACCTCTAATTGGAAAATATCTCATGACGAAGGTACATTTCTGGTGGCGTTCATAATAATGAAAAAAAACTCATCAATGATATCAGCTTACCATGGGTAAACTCAACACTGCAAACCAGTAATGACACACAATGATCGTGCCCTGAAAGCCAGGCGTACCGTTTGCCAAAAGCCGACTACTTCAGGATTTTGTTGTTGTTTTCCAAATGCAAACTCTAATTTTGAAGATTTTTGATTCTATCAAATATTTGAATAGCCCGGTTCCTTTAATTTAATAGTCTATTGTCTTTTTGCTTTACGTTTTTGTCCTGTCGCATAATATGGAAAGAGGCTCAAAATATTCAGCTTCACTTTTCACCCTGCATGTTGGCAGTATAATCATAATTGTGCGTACACATTTCTAATCTTTGTGTTAATGTACGGTATGTTTAATTAGTATTGATAAATACTAAAAAAAAGGACAATTTATACTTTTGAACATTAATGATGCATGGTTGCTCAAATTATATTTAAGGCGTCTACATTTTAATTGGAAAACTTTTTAACCCACAAGCCTTTTCTTGAATTGCATGTTTGTCACTTCATTCCAAGTGTTTCAATATATTTTTGTTAATAACATTGTGATCGTCATTAGCACCATAAAATACAGTCTACGACGAGCAAGGAAATGACCAAAACATATTTTGCATGAAGTCCCCCTCCTACCCCATCCCCCTCCCCAACAAAAAAAAAGACAATAAATCACATTTTTGGTTAATTTTAGAATCCATATACACCCAGTCAGCGAAGATTGACGATCAGCACATCAATATCAACTTGGTAGACACCGCCGGGGAATTTGTAAGTACACGACCAAAGTTGGCATTTCCATTGGTTTTGGTTTGTTTTGTTTTTAGTATTCTATGACTATTCCATGCTTTGGAGTTGATTTCTTAAGAAACATAAACATAACAGGTAGCTGTAATGTAAAGTGAAATTATCAGTGGCCTCTTAAAACAGAATCGCTCTATCAACGCACAGGCGTGACAAGTACCTGAACAAGGCAAAACGTTTTCGATATTCGAAAAGCAAAGAATTATTTCCATGGACATACTTGTGCACGGAAACTTGTCTCAAGAGGTCGAGGAAAAATGTGAGTGGGAATTTAGTTAATAAGGTAGCCCGCTGATTGGTTACAAATGCCACAATTTTTCTCCATATCTTGCTCGCCGTTTTCCTGCAGGATTTTGAAAGTCCAGCGAGGCAGGAGCAGATCCGTACCTCCGACGGACTGGTGCTAGTCTACTCCCTGGTGGACAGGGACAGCTTCGATTACCTTTCCTACATCCAGCAATTCATCTCCAGAGTGCCCGGGCGTGACTCCGAAAAAATTCCCGCCATCATCATCGCCAACAAGTCGGACCTCTGCCACCTGCGCACCGTGTCGCCGACAGAGGGCGCTGACTTCGCCAAAGAGCTGGGCTGTCCTTACTACGAACTGTCCGCCAGCGAGAGTTACATCGACATTGGCGATGCTCTACACGACCTGTGCCGGGAGATTTACCGGGCAGAGAAGAGGGCAAAAGTCAAGAAGATATCGGCCCGGCTACAACTGCGCCAGACCATTAAGAACTTCACCGACCGCCATATTTACAGATCGAGAACGAACACGTTGTAACGTCGGTGCGCATGCGTACTGGAGCCAAGATGAATTCCATAGTTTTTTCCCCGTCGGTCCGTCGAATTATTCGAGTTCCTCTTCGTCACATTTCTTGCAAGAACTTGTTCTCGGCAGTCGAATATTTTTCCCAAGGATTTTTTTCTATTTCATGAAATGCATGAGAAATGGATACATGTATCTTCCTGTAATGAAATTCTATGACGCTCTGTCCATCAATAATTCCGTTGGCACATATATTGACGATCTATATTATGCACGTTATTTCAATGTTATCAAATATCGAAATTCTATCATCTACTAGTGTAGCAATATAACAATATCCTTTCTTTATGCGTAAAAACAGTAGTGTGACAATGTTAGTGTCATGAGGATATTGTCTTTTATTGCAATGTATACAAGTCATGTAGTCTTTTGTCAATTCCGTATTCATGATTACTTTGAGTGTTCTTATGATGGAAGTTGTTTATTATTTATGTAAAATGTCGCGTATTCCTTTTAGAAATATATTTTCGCACGTATGACCATCATGCAACTTCTACACAGAATGAGTCAAAAGGAAACCCAACTGTCAGGGCCATTTTAAATGACGTTCTGCTTGTAGAAATTTCGAAAATTTAGGATAATGGAAGCCCAATTAATAACTTTTCTTTTAGTACAAGAATCATTCAAATCACTCATGTACTTTTCAATTCACGGAATTTTAAACACAAAGACCGTTAATTAGAATCTTGATAACGACCTCGATTTCAGACTCGCATATTGTGCGAGAAAACAAATTGCGACCTTTAAATATATTGCGCTTTACACTGATTACCAATTAACTATATCCACGTTATTACGTCAATAAATAACAAAGGACATTCAAGTCTTTTGAGCTCGTTCTCTTGATTAGGAAAGTCAGCACTCCTCCAGATGAATAGTGCGTACGTGTAGCCCATCATTCAAATTCGAGCAGCTTATTTCATCAGGAGCAGTATTTGACAGTGATTATGGGCGCGGCCAAGGGGAATGGTATTGCGCAGAATTTCAGCGTACAAAACAATGGGAACTGGCACAGGAACGTGCGCTCCCGAGAGTGAAAAGATCTTATGTCGTAGGAGCAAATTTTCATATGACACTCAGTTTGCAATACGTGCAATGCTCAGATCGAAAAATAGGACTTCAAAAGGAAGAGGGTCATCTTTCCGTTCCAACCACGCGTTTTACCTTTCAAGTTCTGAGCCAATATAAGTGGATCCTTCTGACCAGTTTTGTAATTGGTATTATATTAGAAGCATCAAAATGCCTGCTACTTTGACAGGACGAGTGGCTTTTTACGCTATATTGGTCATCAACCACCTTGCTCCTTTGAACACCGCATGTTCAAACTGTCCTTTTCAATGGAAAGAGTTCAGCGGTCACTGCTACTGGATGGTCACCGAAAAGATGAGCTTTCAGGCGGCCGAGAACCACTGCCAAGATCGCTCATCGAAACTTGGAATGCAGTCGCACTTGATGTCCGTGACCAGTCCGGAAGAGAGCGCGTTCCTGAGGAACTACACCGCAGACGTCTTAGGAGAGGGGCACCAGGCATTGTGGATCGGACTGAATGACCGGGCCCAGCCGGGCATCTTCGTGTGGACCGATGGGAGTAGCACCCCCTACTGTGACTTCAACCCCGGAGAGCCCAATGGTAGTAATAGCGAGGACTGTGTTGTGCTGTGGAACGTCGATCACTGGAATGACATCGATTGTGCACGAAATTTCGAGTTCGTCTGCAAGATGCCCGGCCGATTCCACAACTGACTTGTAATGCGCGCTCAAGCATCATCGTTTGCCCTGGATTAGTAGGAAAAAAACCTGGGCCAAAGCAAATACGGATGTTAACTCATGAAAGTCTAAATACATTTTAAGAATTTATCGATTGAAAGTGGGCCAGTGGTCAAGCTTTAAAAACGCCATTTGTTTAACGCATGAATGTACATGTACTGTAGAAAGAACAGTTGACTATGAAAAGAGTTTACTATTAACACAGCTTTTTTTGATCATCACAAGAATGCAGTATGTCAGTGTGCTTTACAGGAAACTGAAAACACGCCGTGCCGCAATATCATATGTTTTGGTTCCATCAACGTTTCGGACGGATTTCTCTTGTCATCTTCAGAGATACCAAATAGAGGCAGAAACAGAGCACCTTGCCTTCACCGCTATTACTCGGCTTTTGAAACGCAGCAGATAGACTTCAATATGCACCTGCTATATGTCTTAGTGGCCAAACCATCAAATTCGAAACACCCTCGTATGAACATTTTTTTTTCTTAAAGGAAAAAAACTTGTATTTAGACAAGGAGAAAATGGAGGCAGCAGCGAACCTGAAAATGAGATCAGCGATCGATAGCTTGATGCAGGTGCATGAATGTCTGGCGGGGCGGATACATTAACGTCTCTCCATGCACCTGAACACCACAGGATGAACGCTTGGCGATCGGCGGCGTTACAGGTGTCAAGTTACCAGGAAAATATCATGACAGTATACGGACGAATGCCTGGGATTGCTGAAAAACAAAAATCTCCCTTGGTACTGATAAACCTTTTCACTATCTGTGGTTTGGAGGACACGTTAAATGACTGTTTTACACAACCTCTTCATTATTTTACATTCCAAATATTCGTGCCTTTTCAGGTTATAGTTCTTTTGAATGTTCCTTTACTGTCGAGGTTTATTATCCTAGTAGGCCTAATATTTTATGAAAAATCATCATAGTCTAGTCAAATGATGATCAAGACGTATTTCAGATTTATAAACTGGCGTTGTGCACAGCTTAAATTAGATCACTCAAAGTATGTTATTTCCACTTGACTGACGAGAAAATGGCTTTGGGGCACGCAATTAACTGCATGACCTTAGCTGACAATAGTGAGTAAATCACATATATATAGCGCCCTCCACAGTCTCACACGGACCCGATAGAAAGTTAAAACACCTGAAGTCCTGTTTTGAGACAGGTCCAATAACAAAACTTGTGCGTTGGATGGAAGTCAGCGACATGACATCACCTCATTTCGTTTAACTCAAAAAAGTTTGAATATGACTTTCTGAAATTTACGCTGTTCGTCCAATTTTCTAATCGCTGCTTTAATACCGTAGGCCTAAGCGAATAATCTCCGCTTACCACAGTGCCAACATTAAAGGCATATATGACCATTTGCATTTACCCCAAAGTAACCTACCAAATTATTATCAAAAAGCTTAGCTTACACGGATTAAGGATCGTACTGCTAAACATGAAATTATCACGTCGTATCTGGTTTGCTGCCATTTAGATTTCCAACGATGAATCTTTTCGAAGAAAGAGTTATAATGACGATATAAATCGTGTTTTGTGATAAAACACAAAAAAATTGGACAACGGCGGACGAGTTGGACAACACTCGAGTTGACTTTTCCAGTTTAATGCACAACGGTCGAGTTGGACAACGGACGAGTTGATAAACGGTCGAGTTGACTTTTCCTGTTAAACGCACAACGGTCGAGTTGGTTCAACGGTTGAGTTGGTAATGGTCGAGTTGGTCCGAGTCGAGTTGGTAACGGTCGAGTTGGTCCGAGTCGAGTTGGCAAACGGTCGAGTTGACTTTTCCTGTTAAACGCACAACGGTCGAGTTGGTTCAAAGGTTGAGTTGGTAACGGTCGAGTTGGTCCGAGTTGAGTTGGTAACGGTCGAGTTGGTCTGAGTTCAGTTGGCAAACGGTCGAGTTGACTTGACACCATCAAAAAGTTGTGCGTTAATTTTTCACCGTTATCTCGAAAAGTGATACCAAAATGAGCTGAAACTTCAACAGGTTATGTTTTCAACATTGTTTCCTGGATTTTGAGTGGCGGTTATTATTGGAAATAAACCAAATGCACGAACAGCTAGCAAAATGATCAGCGAGCGTGTTTCAAGTTCTAGCAATTTCTAATAGGGTACAGCATGTACAGTTAACAATTGTTGACTGCTGTGATGTGGGATATCACTTATGACGTTTTGAACACCCATATCCCACATCTCAGCAGTCAACAACTGTTTTTGTTATACCTCTGTCTCTGATTTTGTTGGATTTTGATGTAAAAATCACGAAAACAAACGGCAGTAAACACAACAATCATGACATTCGAACGTCAACTCACATGCATGTCGAGTGCTCGAAACAGCTGATCGTCTGCTGGTTCGCTGCTCCCACTCATGTGTGAGAACACGGTGAAAATAGCGTGGGTACCAACGATGCAAGCGTTGTACGTATACGTACACGTGATATCCCAAAGGGCGTGTGCCAAGGACGTTTTATAAACTCAACACGTGATCGTTCTAGGCCAATGAAAATAAAGAATTCAAGACAGAGGTTTAACAAAATGCATTATATATGAGCGGGGAATCATGCTTGGGGAGTCATTAGACCATTCTTGGAACACAGGTCGAGTTGTTTACTGAGCACGATGTTTACCAAGCAACGAAGCACCTTGGTAACACTTTCAGAGGACAAGGACATTCCCGGCGGCCCATCTTTGTTTTGCAAGCAGCTGTGGGGCCGGGTGCTACCCATGTGCGTTCCCTAGACAACCCCTCCTTTCTCGGAAGCACAATAAACTGAAAACATCCCGTAGGCAGTTAAAACACTCGTGTGAGGAAGCTGAAGCGTGCACTCAACGACGACTATAGAGCTGCGTAAAACGGCTTCCCCAGCTTAAGAGAGGGACAAAATAAAACCCTTCCGTCATTCAAGTCGGAGATGAATGGTGGGCACGGGAAAGCCCCTGAGGGCGTCGTGCTCAGACAGATAGGCGCCTGTGTCTATATTTCTCGTCCAAACGAAGAAGAAAAATCAAGGTGGGGTGTCATGGGAAACATTACAGGACGTCCTGTCCGATAAGATGCTCCTGATGAAAAAAAGTCCTCCAAGCGGAAATTATGAGCACCTTGTGAGAAACTCTAGCCGTGCTCTCCATCACATCCAATATATGCCAGCATTTTGTGAAGTGAGCTCAGATTTCTTTATGGTACTTGACGGGAACGATTTGGCGCAGCGTCACGCCACGATATTGCATGCGGGCTGACTGATATGGTATCCCTACAGTAAATCTATTCCAATTACATGCATGAGACAATTATGAAGACCGCTCTAAAATGCAGTTATTAGGTTGCTCGATATAGATACATAATAAATAAAAAATGACTTTTACACAATCTATACTTTGCCAGCCGTGTTAACAAATAAAAATAAATTTATATAAAGCCAGTACGTGAAATAAACCCAAAAAACAAAGTAGCCTAACGGTTGTTGAAGAATTAAGAGTTTACATTGTTTTATACGCAACTCGATAAATTAATCTTGACAAAATCACACTTTTTTATATATATTTCCAACCCTCGCCATTTTATTTCCTGCGTGCTCCCCACAGAGGGCAACATTTAGTACACTTTTCTGCCGTCATCAGTAAAGCGTCAATATTTTACAAGGTAGTAAAAACGTTCAATTTTGTACCAAACAAGACAGTATATTAACAAAATGTAATTTTACAATTTCACTACAGAAACAATGGCAAGTCTATCAAGAAAGGAAGAACGAAATGAAAATGTATTTATTGGTAGACGCATAAGCACATGATACTACAATTGGGTCAGGTTCCCTTGCAAGTTTTAGTCATAAGGATTTGTCGAAAACTTTGTTAATTTGGATAAAACAAAGAGACATTCAGGCAATTCCAGCTTTTTGTAAAGTCCGCGACAGAGCTTTTAAGAGCTCAGTGAATACAGCTGAAAATGTGTGGGTTTTGTTCACATCTTATACAGTTGAACACCTTTGTAACAAGGTCCTTGGGACTTTACAAATTACCTTGTTATAACAGGTACCTTATGCCAGAGTTCGACTGTTAATACATCCATCTGTGGTAATGGTCAAGGAGATTACAGACTATACGTTTTTGGGATCATTTCTCTAAAATTTCTGAATCATCAATAAGACATCAAGGCTGATTGCCTTTGATAACGCTGGGAATTGCCCACTGAAAATGAAGTTGAAACTGAAGCTGAAAGTCACATTAGAAACAATGCTGAAAATTGTATGTTAGTACAAAATTCTATAAAGGGTCACAAGTATCGAGAAATAAGACTTACCAAAACAAATGGTTTTGCCCTGATTCTACACAAACTTCAGTAAGTCACTTGGGAAAACTAGACATTCTTAGAGGTGACATTGCATCGGGCGTAATTAAAATTCATGATTTAGGTAACAACTTGATTTGTATTTCTGGATAACACAAAAATCAACAACCACATCAGATACATGTAAAATGACCCATACACGTACCTGTTTCAATTAGCTGTGACAAATGAATATTCGAATCTGATAGAGGTGAAAACAAGTTTAAAATATTGCAAAGATTCGTCAAAATAACCATGAATTGTACCGCAATTTCAGAGGGTAGTTTCTGGTGTAAAGAAATTACTGTTTTGAAATCATTAGTCACGAACAGCGAACCGTCTGCCAACTTTTTTGTGTAGCTCAAAGGCATTGGACCTTATACAGGATGTCTAAAAACAAATGTAGCAGTCAAACAACATGTTTTTTTCTGAGAAAACTCAAACCTTTTTTTTGTTGGTAAAACAACATTACCATGAGATGATAGAGTGTTTCTTTACCTTGACAGGATTTTTGTTCTGTGTGATTTGGAATTTTTGTTAAAAAGTTGCGGCAAAGCTTGTAAAGACTGTCAAAATCTGTTTGGGCCACTTTCTTCACCTTCTTAGTATGTGGATGCCTTTGATTAGATACCAAGTGGCCCAACTTGGAATTCAAGTCCTTTCATTTGATTAGCTGTATCTCTGGACTGGGGTGTCCAAATGAGATGGGATCAAGACCATTGTGTAGAGTATTTACTACACCTTCAGACTCTGATAGGTTTTGCAAAAAGAGAGTGCTGGTATTTTTAATATTTATGGATTGACTGCCTAATGTTTTTTAGACACCCTGTATTTATTTCGCTGGGAAACTTCCCATACGATTATCACTTGGGCACAATCCAACAGTTGTTATTGATTACAAAATACCACATTATACAACGGATGCATCAAATGAAAGATGATTGCTTTTTCCATTGAGACACAGATCAAACAAAAACAATTATGAAAAACAAACACAAGTTTAAAAAAAAATGAACACAGTTAGAAATTTACAAATAATCTTGTTGCAGATTGCCAGGGTGTCAACATTTTCTTTAAAAAAAAAATTAATTCATAATATCAGAGAAAGACTAAGAAATCAACAGTATAGATTTATTAAATTCAAGTCATTATTTTTGTGCAGTCTATTAAGCCACAAAAATGGCAGTTATGTATTGTTTTTTTACGTAATTTTGCACGCGTTGAGGTCACTACATTTTAAAGCCCGCAACAAAACTGCTTAGTTTATATTTTTGTTTAAATTCTCGCGTTTTGAGACAGGTTTTTAAAAGATCAGAAAATCCTCTTGGTGTATCTCTATGGCACAATATAACAATCAAATTAATGTTTGAATGATGTTTTAAAATTTAGAGGCTAATTTATTACTGGATTTTTTTTCTGTTATCTAGTCGTTTTCTATAATCATGATTATATTTGGAAAACAAAGATTAATTGAGAACTCTTAAACTTGGCATTGTTGGACCCGTCAAGGGTCAATTCATTTATTTCAAACCCAACCAATCCCTAATGTATTATTTTCTGTTATAATGATTCACGTGATATTTGGAGAACTGGGATTCGGTGTGAAAAAAGTGAAGTTTGAAGACCATAATGATAAAAAAATCCCCCAGCATAATTTCCATTTGACATCAATTTGCTTTATCAACAGCGATTGTGTTATCACACATTTGTGAAGCACCTCTTCATGCACAAATTTATCATCATGATGTGAGGTATTATTTAAAAAAAAAAAAAAAAAAATGGAGATACTTATTTTTAAAATATGCATGCTTGTGACTATGTCAATGACGAGGCAAAATGTTTCATGACGATGTAAAATGTTTCTTTGGTTGCTTGCAATCAGTTGTGGATAATCATTTGAGGAAAAGAACGGAAATTTCATTGTGTATACATGTATATACTCAGATATTCATTATATTGAATATTTAAAAAAAAAAAAAAAAATCTGCGGAATAAAGGAAGAATTCACAAAGGATGGAACAAAACCTTGTGCCTATTCTGTGTACCATACAAACCTGGAATGGCATCTTCACTTGACCCTACAAGTTTTTGATAAAAAATTCAAGTGGGTTTGGAGGAATAACTTTGGTATTTGTCTTGATTCTAATGGAAAGAAGAAGTACAAAGTCTGTTTTATTTGTATTCCAGGAACAGTGGTAGATTTTAGAGGACTCAGTAGGTTCCTGAATGGATAAATTATGAACAAAAATAAATGTGGATATTTCAAAGGATTTTTTGGGGGAAGGCGCGCAGTCATGTCTAACATCAAATGACAGGAATTATTTACATAATAAAAATAACAAAAATAAAACAATAGAACTTGTTGTGTATCATAAAAAGTGCACATCTGACTGGAAATTACACCAACAAAATAATGACCTTTTTTTCTGTCAGATGAAATAGGATACTGCTACTGTTTCATGATTTTTTCAAAGTTTAAAATAAAAAATCAGACATGAAACAGTTCCACAGACCTCAGAGCAGCAACAAAGATTTCAAAACCACTGATTATTTGCATGATCGTTGCATTTTTCTTCTGGGATTCTTCTAAAAGAAGAAGCGGGAGAAAACTAATCACACTAAGAATGTACTATCTTAATAGCTAAAGGAAATTTTCCTTAATATTCAGACTCAATTTAGACCAAAACAAATTTATTGAGATGGGCGGATAGCATTCCTTGCTACTTCTTTGTGTATGCAAGCCTTTAACTACCAGTGTGGCATCATGGTTGGATTCGGAAAAGCTTGAATAGACCAATCCGAATGCATTGCTCGTCAGATAACATGTTACAGTTCCAATGTCATGCTTAGTTCACCTTAACCTGTGCATGAAGAATGTTCTTCAATGGGAGACTTTTGGGACGTTGGTGGCAGCAAACGCACTGGTCCTTTTCAATTGTCTAGTCATTTTGAACATGCGCACATAAGGGCAAGTTCGCCCAAGAACTATTGTTGACCATTGGTTAACCATAGTTCGACTAAAGCTAGCCCAAACTCTGTCTAGTCGACGGTGGTTGACGACGCTAGTCGACTATTTGGAACCAGCCTACTGGGCATGGTTGCTTCGCTGGTAACCAATAGCCGCGCGCATTAATAACGTACAGCAGGGAGCCAGGACCCAGAAGTTTTGCGATGACATTTTGACCAGCGTTTGACTAGAGACGTTTGCACGTTGCTATTAGTGCGCAGGCATAAGGTAAGTCACAAATCAACCACTAGTCGACTAATGGTCCTTGCCCGAACTTGGCCTTAGCTTAAACATGACGTTAACAACAGAACAGGAACGGTGAGTTTGCTGCCACCACGCGTCTCAAAAGTCTCCCATTTGGGTATTGTAGACACAGGGAATATGTCAAAGAAATGCCAGCTGAAAAAAAAATAGAAGTTAAAAAGGGGGAAAACTGCAATTTTCACGGCCTAATTGGAAAATAACTACTTGTCTTCTATGGCATTTTTTCAAGTAAGGCGGCAAAGGTTAAAGATAACCAGACTTGTATTACATTTACATTTGCTATAAGTATACTTTTTGCGCAAACTTACAAATATATTTTTTTGATTAGAAAAAAAAGATGGTGTCCAATCCACAATTAAATGGTCTCTTTGCCGAAATGGGGAAATAAGACCATTTCATTTTGAATGTCGGACTATGGGGGTAACCGACTCTGAAACTGATACAGAAAGAATTGGAACATTTCATTTTAAAATAATAAAAAAATTAAAAACAGAAGCGATACATCAACATAATTATACAAATCAAACCTGTGTACGCGCGAAGGTGATTACTTTTACTGGCCTTAGCAACATGTAAAACTTCAAACATGTCAAAAGAAATCTTGTACATTAGTTGCTTAATTTTTGCATATATTGGAACAAAAGCTGGGCGGAACTTAGTTTCGCTCCAAGACTGTACTTTGATGTTGTTCTCCTAATGCAGACAGCCCTATGCAGGGCGCTATCAACAGGATGAATCACCGTGCAGTTTTGGGAATCCGTGTCGACCTGAGAAATTCAAAGCATACCTCACGCATGCTGTATTCATGCTAATGGACACGGGTGAGTTAGGCTCAAAATTCTTGGGCCGGTATGCCAAAGTTACCCAAGACTGGACCTGATTCATCTGTTTGTTATAGCGCCCTCTACCACAACGGCAGCTTGATCAAGCTTACCAGGGTTCGTAACTTGGAATTAGGAAAACAAAACGACAAATCCAATCTTGAGCTAAGACTAAGCTGAACTTACTTAACAAACCTTTCGTATCTTTATAATGTAAGTAGAAGCTCGTCGTGAAGCTTCTCGTTCAAGCCAACCGTGCAAAAGGACTTATGTAGGTTCTCACAAGGTACCAGGGTCAAAGCAAGGGCAAACAGTGGGTCAGAAATGCTCCATCTTCCCTCGGATAGATCGGCTAACTGGGCGAGTAGAATCCTCCCAGAAGGTTTGGCTAATGAAATGGCCGAGGTGGCCGGCGTTGATCATCTGAAGAGGCGAGTGAAGTCCCTCATGGCATAGGTGACTGTGATGAGCTCCTCAGCACTAACAAAATTAAAAGATAGAAATATAATTACTTTTTAAAGGAGCTTTGCAGATGAGGGGAGTGTGGCCTAGTGGTTAGGGTTCATGACTCATGATCAGAGGGTTCGAATCCAGATGCTAATCATATGTTGTGTCCTTGGGCAAGCCACTTCGCCCCCACTTGCCTCTCTCCACCCAGGAGTATAAATGGGTACCGGCATTAGCTGGGGAGTAACCTGCGATGGACTAGCATCCCATCCAGGGGGAAAAGAAATATTCTCAGTCGTTTTATGCTACTGAAACCGGAGATAAACACCGGCCTGATGGGCCACATTGGCTCATTACAGACTTTACTTTTTTTTTTACTTTTGCAGATGACACCATGTAACTACAGGCGAAGCTACAGGCCTCACATATCGTCACTCGCAAGCCCTGTTCAAAACTTGCTTTCATTTCTCTTCGCAAGTTCCAAAAATTACGATTTTACGTAACTTTCAATTCAATATGGCCGACTCCTGATTAAGGCCCATGGGTTGAAAACAGTCACTTGATTAATTTGGACTGCAAGGACAACTTGGCACAGAATGTAGATTTGCATAGGAGGGTTCAATTATATGCTGAAGAGCACAGACAGGGCACCTTTAATGTAGGCGTTGCAAAAACAAATAATTTGGTGCGATGTAAGATCTCTGATGTTTTGAGTACTGCACGTGTTCGTACAAGAACTTGCAAGTACAGAAGAACCAGGACCCACCTTGTGACAGTCTTGTGGAAGTCCGTCAGCTGTTTCTGCGTTGCATTGATTCTACCGTCTTGTGTCTCTACCGGGAGGGACTTGAGAGCGGCCTCAAGCCAAGTCGATGTTGTCTGCAAAACAGATACAATGAGAGAGATCAGCCATTGCTCATTGTTGTTCATTGTTCATTGTTCATTTATTTACCACAATGTCACATTTTTTAATTACAGTAATTAATAAAAAAGGTACTTTATAGACAGATGGTGAAACTGTAGAGGAATCTACTAAGAAGCTAAGCTTGTAATCGCAGGCTCCTTTTATAGAAATTTAAAGTTGCTTTTAATACATAAAACACAGGACAAACAATAGACAAGGACAATACACAAACTTTACATGCCAGTTAACAAACAGGATAAGATTTGTAGCATGAGCAATCTGGAAGTTAATGGGTTACTCGGGATTACAATAATTATACAACAGGGTCGATTGATATTTCCGTTTGAAAGTAGACACATTTTTAGATGTTTTCAGGTTCTCGGTAAATGAGTTCCACAGCCTGGGTCCCTCATATCTAATAGTTTTTTGGCTAAAGATGTGCGAGTCAATGGGAGATGAAAATTAGAGACTTGATCAGAATCACATTATCATTTTTTTCAAAAACGGCATAAACTTTAGAGGTTCATAATTATTAGGATGAATCGCATTCACGATTGGCCCCCCCAAAAAAGAGTTCTGCTTTCTAATTTTATGGCGTGACCCTATTTATCGGCAAGTTAAAAAAAAATTCATGTTATATTTTCTGTCTTCACGAAAACGCTTCTCAAAAACCTTTATACGTCAAAAACCCTTGCAACATTTCTGCTGTCCCCATTTATTTGCCTGCATTTATTCGCTATTTTCGAAAAGAAACCACCGTTGTTTTGCAATCAGCAAGTTCCCTTCGCTTTTCACTGATAGTATACCGCGCAATATACGGACAGTGTTGGCCAGTTTCCCGTCATGACTGTTGTTGTGCATAGTGGTATGCACGACCTGAATTCTCCATTATTTTTAAGAATCATCGACCATAAAGACTATTTACACTAATTAAGGCAAGATCTTTAATCCTGTTTGTGGCCATTTTTGATAGCTTCTGTGGCGCAAATGAAAATAGTTCAGGCTAAAAATTTGCACTTAAAGTGAATACCCAATTCCATCGGCACGAAAAATTTGGCAAACTAAAATCATTTTCCGACCTACCTACCTTATTTTTGCAAAGGCATGTAATCGGAAGCAGAACTTTTCAAACTTTATATATATTTCGCAATGAAAGTTTTCTGATTTTTTTTTTAAATTTTGATATTCTACATCCACTTCCTTCAAAGGTCATTCACCCCTTTTTCCTGTTGCAGCCATTTGACTGATCATATCTTATAAGATCACACGATTATCAACTGTTCTTCCTCAAAAGTACAATTTGTCAAAACATTGATAAGACTAAAGCAAATCCATTTGTCAAAACATTGTTTCGACTTTGGCCAATTTGCGTCACACAGCATTTACACAGAGAAAAGTGAAAGTCGTGCGACTCGAAAAACGTTTTAACTCTTATCGCTAATATTCAAGTGGTTTGCTAGGCGAAAGCCAAGAGCAGTCAGATCGTATCAATAGATAAGGATCTTATCCTAAAACACATTTCCGTTGAAAGAAATTTCAAACCGAGTCAAGTTACCATTCATGATGGTTTATCACACACTCCTGCAAGATTTCAAATAAATTTTTGAAAGGTTGTATATTTGCAAAAGACGACAATCAATTTGATATAAAAAAAATTAACTGCAAAAACAATCCCGAAAGAAGAAACTATACATGTAGTTTTCAACTTTGGTTATTGTCTTTACGGTTTATTTAAGTTTTACACTATTAAAATCTCTGACATGAACACCAACATTGCTTTAAAAAAAATCCACTGTTTTTTCACATGTACCTGTTGCTACAGGCACTTGTAATGAAGCAAATTGTTTGTCGTCATAGCTTCATCTACACGTAATAATTATTTCTTCTTGATATGATTGTGGGGTGCTGTAGTCCAATGGTTACGGTGTTCGACTCGTGTGCCGTGGTACATGGGTTCGAATCCTGACCGTGGGAACATGGTGCTTGTGCTCTTGAGCAAGGCACTTTACCATTATTGCTTCGTCCTTCGGATGGGACGTAAAGCCGTAGGTCCCGTGTGTTGTGTAATGCACATTAAAGAACCCAGTAACACTTGTCGCTAAGAGGAGGGGTTTGCCCTGGTGTTTCTGGCAGTGGCAGCAATTATGCGCCGCAGCACCTAGCAAAAAGGTGCTTCATAATGGGTCTCATATGTTCATATACTTCATTTACCTGGCTTTGGTTGCATTCTCCCCCAGCGCAATGTATCCTCTGGCAAAAAGCGCTATATAAATACAGTTATTATTATATGATGATATAGTTCCTGGGGCACATTTGCAAATGGCGAGCAGCCCGTTTGTATTGTTCATTTACAAAGACTGTTTTGAAACAAAAACGAGGAAATTCCAAACCACACAAGACTTTGTACAGTGTTCTTCAATTATTTTTTAATGACATTCATGAGAAGTAAAAAACAAGGATATCAACGGATCCGATGGAAAGTTGCATGCCTGTATAAGGTGTCCTGAGATCTATCAAACACGGACGTCTTGAACATACCTCTCTGTTGACTCGGATCAACTCAAAGAGGACCTCTGAGATGTCTGGCATCATGTAGGAAGGAAGATAGAAGACACAGGCATTGATGATCCGAGTGGTGATGGCCGGACCGTGTTTCTCCAGAAGACTCAAGATCAAGTTTTTTCTTGTGTCATAGTCTTGACTCTCCTTTGAAGGAAAAAAGGGGGGGGGAAGGGTAAGTTTAGCAATTAAAGGGAATGTACAACATATGCTTTTGCTGCAATTTTCTGAAATAAATGGATTTGGAGGATTAGTATGTTATATAAAATATTGTTAAACTGACTTGTTTCATGTTTTGGGCTTGTAGATGCTGGAAAAACCAAGAAAACCTATCATGTTCTTGTAGTCTGGTTCCCTGACCCCACATAAGATGAAACGAAGCAATTAATACACTTTAGCGAATTGTAAGGTAAGAGAATCAGTCTAGCAGGCTTGTACCCCTTCACAGGTGTGTGATCATTTGCAAAAGTCAGAATAACTAAATATGAAAAATTAAGAACAGTTTTTGAAAAAAGCCAGTTTTCTCCAACGCTGGTCGGACGACCAGCGTTGGAAAAATACAGGTTTTTCTTGAAAATGTCAGCACACCAGGAGCCACGATTTTAAAGGATGCTTTAGACCGTCATTCCCTAACAATTGAGTAAGGTATTTCATGATAATTTGATCATTTCGTTTTTTGATGTTTGCAAATGTTGTAATTTCCCTTTCAGACAAAGGGAAGCTGAGTTGGCCAAACACTAACTATGACTCCCTCAGCATTCTTTGCTGGGAGCTTTCTGGGATCCTCAACATCTGTTACCATGGTTACTGCACAGGTAACCAGCAGCACCGGTCTTCAGCCCAGTCTAGTCCGGTACATGGTCCTGTCTGACCAGAAGTTTTGAAGTCAGTCAGGCGCATCAATTTATTGCCCTTCAGAGAACGTCCAGAGCAGAACAATAGCAGACTTACCGGATTAAAGATAAAATCCTTCCATAATGCCTTGGTAATTTACGGTCCCATTGTGCGCGAAACCGCATGGCAGGGGTTTTGATCTGTGCCGACGAAAGTGTTCTATTGTTTCGCGCTGAGAGATGAAAACCACAAGCGGGTTTCTTCTGGGACATGTGTCAATACTTGCAAACAAAAGACCCCAGGATAGAGGAGTTCCTGATTATCAACAGGACAAGCTCCTGGGCCAGTAGCTGGGAGGGGACGAGCTAACCGGGGGGCCCTTTTCATACCGAGGCTGAATGGTCACGGGCCCTAAAGTAAACCAATTATTATAAACTCACCCATTTTGATACGGCGCCCAGCGTGAGCTCATGAAAGAATTTGCAGACGGAGGCGTTAGCTTCCCTGTGATCCAGCGACATGGCAGCCAATGCACACTCCATGATGGGTTCCACAGATGAACACTGTAGAAACGCTACGGGACACTTCTGGAGTAACCTGAAAAACGCAGATGTAGGGATCCAAAACTTTAAACGCCGCTGGAAATCTCAGGATTTCTTGACAAATTTCGTGTGGCACTAGCAAGTTAGAGTCACAGTAGAAGTTCTCAGTGGACATTTCTAAAGAGCACTGGGTTTTTCGGCCATCTATAAGGATGTGGGGTCAGTGTTCTCCAACTTTGAAAATCAAAGGTCGGTGTACCGTCAAAAAGCAGAGGAGGGGGGCGCTATAATTATGTTAGGGGCACTATTTGCAGTCATACATTTCTTTATGCTAGGGGGCGCTATTTGCAGATGAACATGCAATTTATGTGCCAATAAAAGCTTTTAGGCCATTTCTAACACAGTAACAGTTAAGTACAATACTGGCTCAGCATCATCTTTTTTTAGCACATCGGTGACCAGGGACTCTGAGGCAGTTTGGCCTTGAGACTTTTGACCTGATTGATTGCTACAATGGGCAGGCTTGTCAGTTTGACAAGTGTTGCATGTTATTACTTTTGGCAGAGTTTCTGGCCAAATATACCCTGGAGGGTAAGGGTAGTCCCACTTGTTTGTCTTTTTTTATAATTTTTTTCCTTTTTTTTAAGCAAGGCAGGCAACTTTTTAAGGTTGGCGGCAGCTTTTGAAGCTTGGCAAGTACCTCAGAAAGCTTGGCGGGGCACCAGGTTATAATGTGTAAATATTTTCCACATTCAATGAGCTCATATTTCAGCACATAACTTTCTTTTCTGAGTATAAGACTATTTGTTGGCTTGCAAATTAGCAAAAAAAAGGCAATGTTTTTAAACGAAAAGGCTTCCCCTAGCCCGCTTTGCAAAGGTGGCTTTGCCACCCGTCGCCTGCCCCTCGCCTGCCCGTCGCCTGCCCATCGCCTGCCCATCGCCTCCCCATCGCCTGCCCGTCGCCTGCCCGTCGCCTGCCTGTAGCCTGCCCTTCATGGCACGCATCCACTATTATTGGTGCTCAAGGCATCATAATTACGTCTGCTTATTGGGCCAATGAAACATTCCAAAACTTCAGCTCCTTGGAGAGTATACAGCTCAATGCTGCCATTTTAGTGTAAAGCAGCTAAAATCAATCACAATAACCATCTCTGCCCTCACAGGTACCCATTTACTCCTGGGTGGAGAGAAGCAATGAGTGACAACGTGCCTTGTACAAGGGCACACATGCACCACGACCCCAGGCTGGACTGGAACCCACAACCTGCAGAATTACCCGCAGATTACGAGTCCAATGCTCTAGACCATGATGCCACAGCACTCCATTGTTAGCAGGTCAGTGGGGATGATAAATACCTTGAGCAGAGTCTGAAGAAGTCATCCACTACATCTGGGTGATTCCTCAGGCCCTGGGGTTGCTGTAGAATCTGGAAGGTTGGTACTATGAAAGCCTGGATGGACAACAAAACAAACAAGACAATCTAGATCAGTTAAAGGGAAAATACAACATTTACAAACATCAAAAAATAAAACTACCAAATCGTTTTGAAATACCTTGCTGGACTGTTAGTGAATGACAGTGTAAAGCATCCTGTAAAATCACGGCACCTGGTATACTGTCATTTTCAAGAAAAGTGCTATTTTTGTATCAAGTTCCAATGCTGGTCGGCCGACCAGCGTTGGAAAACACTGGCTTTTTTCAAATACTGGCCCCAATTGACCATCGCACTTGTTTGCAATCGATTTAATACACACCTATGAACGGGTACAAGCCAGCTAGACTGGTTCCCTGACCTTACAATTCCCCCAATGTATGTAAACTGCTCTGTTTCTTCCTATATGGAGTCAGGGAACCAGACTACAGGAAAATGATTGTTTTTCTTGGTTTTTATAGCATTTTCGAACCCAAAACCTCAAAAAAGTCAGTGTAACTATAATTTGCTATATATTTCCAACCCCCCAATTCCATCCATTTCTGAAAATTACAGCAAAAGCAAATGATGTATATTCCCTTTAACAAACAAATTTATGTTCTGTGAGTCCACACAGGCATGCAAGAACCAAGGGATTTATCTTTTAGCTGCTCCAAGAGGGCCAGCCTACAGTTCTCTTTGTACCTATCTCACTAACTGACTACCCGACTGACTGACTCCCCGACTGACTGTCACTTGTGACTCACACTCATCTGGGTCATTCTATAAATCTAAACATTGATAAATACAATGTTATACAATGTAATACAATGTAATACAGTGTAACACAATGTATTCCAGGCCAATTCCAGCACAGAGGCCACACAGTCTATAAATCTGGGGTCTAAAGCGTGACATCTTTCCTGTCCCTGTTATCTTGGTACTTTGTAATTTACCATTCAAGTATCACTGACTTCAAGCAATTTTTTTTTCATTTGTTGGGTAGTTTGCTATTCATAATCACTCTTGGAGGACGACTGCATTTAGGAGTGCATCAGAACTGTAAAATCATAGACGTCAGATGTAACAGGGACAGGAAAAAAAAGTGGACCCCAAATTGTTTAGATCGACCCATATGGGAGCAGCTTAAAGGGAAAATACAACATTTGCAAACATCGAAATAAATAAGTTGTTACGAAATACCTTACTAGGATGTTGGTAAATGACATGTTTAAGCAACCTGTAAAATAATGGCACCTGATGTGAAGCCATTTTCAAGAAAACGGTATATTTGTATACATTTCCAAAGCTGGTCGGCCGACCACCGTTGGGAAAACCTAACTATTTTTCAATCACTGCTCCAAATTTACCCTTTTTTTTTTTAGTCTAAATTTTGTTTTGCTAGCTATTGGTTCCATGTTCATGAACGGGTGTAGGCCAGCTAGACTGGTTCCCTTACCGTACAATTTCCCGGTATTTTTGATCCATTTCATCTTCAGTGGAGTCAGGGAACCAGACTACTTGAATATTTTTGTTTTTCTTGGTTTTTCCAGCATTTTGAAACACAAAACTTCAAACATGTCAGTGTAACAATATTTGATCTATTATACTAACCCCCCAAATAGTTCATTTCTGAAAATTACAGCAAAAGCCAATGATGTACATTCCCTTTAACATGACTTGCCCATTCATGTCTGTGTAGTAGCACTACACCACATGTACATTACTGCAGCACCACTTGTTTCATGGTACATGTGTAGGCATTAAAGTTGAGTCTCCATGCTAACGGTGAAAGTGGAGTTGTCATTCCCATCACGTTACCATTTTCGATAATTTTACAAACTTTTGACCTATTTTGAATCAACTGAACTGAGTTTTGTGTACACTGGAACTGCAGCCGATTTCACAAAACTTTACGCAATGACATGAGTCCGTCGATCAAATTAGGTTTTGCCCTGCACCGACGTTTAAACACTGTATACTCAGTGTGTTACCTCCTGAGTGAAAGTTGGAAAACATCACTCGGGTGGGACTCGAACTTACGACCTCCTGCTTTCTAGTGCAGATGTCTTACCACTCGACTACCGAGCTAACAGGATCGGTTGGCTGGTTCGAATCTGATGTACATAGCAGCGGGTACCGTATAAAGTATTATAAGATTGAATTTTGCGTCGGGGTGATATAAATCAAATTAGGTTTTGCCCTGCCCCGACATTTAAACACTGTATACTCAGTGTGTTATACTCAGTGTGTTACCTGAGTATACAGTGTTAAAACGTCGGTGAAGGGCAAAACCTAATTTGATTTATATCACCCCGACGCAAAATTCAATCTTATAATAGACATCAGTCCACTTGTCCACTTGCAAACAAAATCATACACAAACAGCCGTCGTTAATGCTGTTATTATCCTCATCCAAGATGTCAATATTATTTAAAATGTTGCGCAGCTATGCCAAGTTTCGTGAAATTGACCATAAGTATATTGCACAGCTGCGCAATAAATTTGTTACACACTGTTTCGTGAAATCAACCTTGCTATGTTTTGATACAATAAAATACATATTCAGTATAGTTTTTGTGTACCTGAAAACAGAGAAAAGAAAACAGGAATAAAGGAAAAATGATTCTAGAGACAACTATTCTTTAAAATTTTCCCTGCTCTCCTTTGACCAGAAATTTCTCAAGCAAATAGTAACTTTAACCCTAACCTTCCCAAATCTTCCAAAATCCTCTTTGCAAAATGGATGATTTTACAGGATTGAGGCTATATGGCAAAAGTGTGTTGGCTGATTTCAGAGGGCGCACTGTGTCGAGGTCTTGTGCCAGACCTTATGTAGTTTATGCTCAGCCGTGTATAAATTTATGCTTATATTATACTTGAAATTCTCCGCACTGCTCCAGGATGTCACTGGCTCTGCCTGAACATATTGACAGTACTGAGGCTATATATTGACAGGACTGAGGACTGAGGCTATATGGCAAAAGAGTGTGGCTGATTTCGGAGGACGCACTGTGTCAAGGTCTTTGGCCAGACCATGTGTAGTTTATGCTCAGCCGTGTACAAATTTATGACTATATTATACATGTACTTGAAATCCTCCGCACTGCTCCAGGATGTCACTGGCTCTGCCTCAACATATTGACAGTGATTGCTGGAGGATTTTGCAGGATTGAGGCAGTGGTCACCCCTCCAAAGACCACATTCAAGAAATAAAAGAGGATTTGGCAGGATTGAGGCTAAGTATTATTTTTACACGGAGGCAGTTGGAGGATTTTGCAGGACTGAGTTTACACTCCTAGCAAAAATGCCTACGGTGTTAGGGTTATCTGGCAAAATATAATTTTTTCTTCAATGTGAGATGTACATGACTTACTTGCAGCATGTCTATGATGCCAGGTATACAGCCAGGATCGTCCCCATATTCATGGACTAATATACTACCAAGGTACAGGAAACACGAATGCTGATGGGCCTGGTATATTGTTACCATCTAGGAGAAAACACATACACGTAGATCAAAAAGGTTTGAAATACTCAATGTGTACTTTGTCGATTTATCAACAACAAAAAACTGAAAGAATTGAAGAGAATTTGATTGTCAAGACAGACAAAAATATAACTTGTTCCCAAAACTTCATTCTCAAACGTTTTGGAGACCATACATATGTATCTCCCTCAACGACAAAAATGACATGGAGCGCTGAAATATTGTTTGACATTTGACCCCACGTGAAAACAATTAACATCTGAAGTAATGAGATCCTACGCAGACACTGGTCGCACATTGTACATAAAGACGAAGCATGTAGTCTGTGCTAAGACCAACACAAAGGAAATTGATCCTCCCCAAAGCCCAGTACTATTCAGTATTGATGAAACAAAGCATGTGCATTTCCAATAACGCGATTTTCCATTCAAAACTAAATTACTCGATTTTTTCACCCGAGTCCTTATAATTGAGTACGAGTACGAGTTGTTGAGTTCAACTACTTTGCCTCTCGAATATAAGTACCATGAATTCGAGTCCGAGTATTTTGATATATTAGAGTACCAGTGCGAGTATGAGTATTCTCAAAAAGTATTCAAGTATAAGCCTTTTCGGAGTTCCAACTGCGCATTCGTAACCTGTGACAACGCGCATTATTTGTCTCAAATGGCCTTTGACAACATCGCGCCACTGACTTTACAAAAAGGCTGTTTGTGCATTGTGGGTACTGTCAAAGGGCATTGGAGACAAACAATGTGCGTTGTCACAGGTTACGAATGCGCGCAGTTGGAACTCTGAAAAGGCTTATTACTGGAGCACAAGTACTACAACACTGATCAATACAATGTCATACAATGTAATACAATGTAATACAATGTCATACAATGTAATACAATGTAATACAGTGTAACACAATGTATTCCAGGCCAATTCCAGTACAGAGTCCACACAGTCTGAGAAGAGCTTCTGTAAGTTTCCCACCTGCGTAACTAGTGGAGTTAGAAGCAGCGCCGAGCCTTTACCCACGCAGCGGATAGCAAAGCGTATGCAGCGACAGCAGCGCTCGATGATGCGGATATCACCCTGATATGTATTGCACGTGTTGGATAGTACTGGCCAGATTTCCTGCAGGATGGCTTGGCAGGGATGGGTCTGCCCGTTGGTGATGGCGGGGTTTGTATTTCTGCAAAATAAGTATAAAAAAAAAACATCTGTAAGGCCAAAAAAAAAAAGTCTCCGTTTTGTGGTATGGAGCTTGCCCAAAAAGTGGTGTGGCGACGCGGCTTTTTTTTTTTACCTGATTTTTTGCTTCAAATGTCGGCCGATGACTGCAAATGGTGCCCGACTAAACTTAGTGCAAATATATGGGAGTCCAGTGAGGCCACATAAAGCTTATTCTCGACCATAACCCAATCTAAAAACACGTTAAAATTGTGCAGCAGCAGGATTCCAGTCAAACCAGTGAGTTTGGCGGTTTTGAGACATCATCTTTCATTGAAAAAAAAACTTTTTCATTTTGCCGACGCGCATGGCTACGGCAACGCGCGCGCATACCAGAAACCAGAGACTTTTTTTTTTTGGCCTAATGTAAACTCAGTAAAAAGTAAAGTGTAGAAAAGTCGATACATTTAATTTAAAGCTTTAAGTATTTCATGTATCATCATGGCCCATGGCAAAAGCTAGGCTGTTCCTGGTTTTTGGTGTTATAGCCTTCAACTAGTGTGCAAATTTTACGAATTCATTTTATTGTCAAAACTTTTAACAGATTTGCCAACTTTTAGACTTCCTTATATGATTTTTAAATTAAATCATTGCATAACTTAGCAAGAAATGGATGAAGCAACAAATAACCCCCAACCCGAACCCCCTAAAGTCGCAAGCATGTCGATGAGTTGGAGCGGGTCCATGTTAGCTGATAAATACACGACTTTGTCATAAGGCATCACAATTTGAGGTTTTCTGCACAGAGGAAGCATACAGCACAACGCTGACATTTCGGCAAAAAGCAGCTGCAATCAATCCCAATTTCTGCCCTAACAAATGCCCACTTACCCCTGTCAGGAGTGGATCTAGCTTTCAGGAAATGGGGGGGGGGTGATTTGAAGGGGGTTGAGTTCAGGCATTCCAAAGGCATGTGTTGCTAGGGGTTCCAGAGGCACGTTCCAGATAAAAATATTGCATTATTTTGGTTTTAATGGAGGGTCTGGTCCAACCAGGCTCAAGACTTAGGGGAATTTTAAGAATACAGCAGACATACTTAAATATTGCAGCTATTCTATCGAGCCAAACAGTCGGATCACTAGACAAACTTGACTTCCGTTCAGTATCTCCCTTTAACACCTGTTGACGAATGAAAAACAGATTTATTTTGAAGAGAATCTCACAGCTTTCTTTTTCCAGATTCTTTATGACATTTCTGAGTTATGTCACTGGGTCCGAGACTGAACAGGGTGTCACACACATTTAAGATATAAAGAAAAGCCAAAATCTCAGATTTTGTTTGTAAAACTTACACTTTGCCCAGGGCTAAAATGTCTAAGTCAACATATATTGGACAGTGCATCTTCCTGACTTTTTTTGACAATTTAAATTCTTTCAAACAGCAGTAGCAAACAAATTACATTTTGTTGTACATTATGTAGGTGGGGTGTCCGTCAGTAGGTATGTCAGAGCAGTCAGACATTCCAACAGAATTATAGTTTTTATTGTTAATATGGCTCTCCCCGTGCTCTTCAACAAATTTTATTTTCTTCTCCTCACAAATTTTCCGAATTGTAAAATTAACTAATTTGGAGTTGTTTTTGTACCTTTAACACGCGCACACAAAAACCACCCCACCTTCATTTTTCTTGGACCACAATTCACTTGAAATTTGTGAAGAATCTGATCTGTGACAAAAAAAATTGACGGATTTTTTGTTGGATGTTTCCTTCTAAAGTACAAAAATTTTGCAGTGTTGTAGTCGAGCCCATCACAAGTCCCTGCAAGTCCCTGCAAGTCCATCACATGTCCATCACATGTCCATCACATGTCCATCACAAGTCCATCACATGTCCATCACATGTCCATCACAAGTCCTTCAGTCTCAAGTCAAGTCGCTAGCTATTCAAATGAACTGTGACAAAAGCATTCCTTTGCCATTGATCAGCCCGTTTCTTGTGACTGGACTTGTGATGGACTTGTGACTGGACTTGTGACTGGACTTGTGACTGGACTTGTGACTGGACTTGTGATGGGCTTGTGTTGGACTTGTGACTGAACTTGTGACTAGACTTGTGACTGGACTTGTGACTAGACTTGTGACTGGACTTGTGACTGGGCTTGTGACTGGACTTGTGACTGGACTTGTGACTGAACTTGTGACTGGACTTGTGACTGGACTTGTGACTGGACTTGTGATGGACTTGTGACTGGACTTGTGACTGGACTTGTGATGGACTTGTGACTGGACTTGTGACTGGACTTGTGACTGAACTTGTGACTGGACTTGTGACTGGACTTGTGACTGGACTTGTGATGGACTTGTGACTGGACTTGTGACTGGACTTGTGATGGACTTGTGACTGGACTTGTGACTGGACTTGTGACTGGACTTGTGAAAGGACTTGTGACTGGATTTGTGACTGGACTTGTGACTGGACTTGTGACTGGACTTGTGACTGGACATGTGACTGGACTTGGGACTGGACTTGTGACTGGACTTGTGACTGGACTTGTGGCTGGACTTGTGGCTGGACTTGTGACTGGACTTGTGACTGGACTTGTGACTGGACTTGTGACTGGACTTGTGACTGGACTTGTGACTGGACTTGTGACTGGACTTGTGACTGGACTTGTGACTGGACTTGTGACTGGACTTGTGACTGGACTTGTGACTGGACTTGTGACTGGACTTGTGACACCAACACTGAAATTTTGTATAGCAAGAAAAATGCCAGATTTTGGGGTGAACCCCGAAAAAAAAGCATGGGGACAAACAACTGTAATTTCATGACAAAGGACATTATTGTTTTTCTATCTTGCCTGGCTAAGCGGAGTGACCTGAGCCAACATCAACTGCTTGAGGCCTTCCTGTATCTTCTCTAGTGGCATCCTGGTCAGAACTAACGCTGTACCTACAAGACAACATAAACATGGAACATCAATCAGAAAGGAACAACATTGAGTATGTGAGGTCTAATTGACATCCCCTTTGACAGTGTTGGATTTTGATGAATTTAATAAAGTCCATCACAATAAGCACATATGTTTGGATTTCACGTAGTTTTTATTTTTTTTCTGCTCAGTTAGCACAGAATTGTATGACTACGAACCAATGGGCTCTGTGCGCCAACGAAAGAGGGCACCCTGTTACCTAGTTAAGACGTCCCATGGGCGGGACATTTAGCTGGTTGACGCGCACCGTTCCTTGTGTGTGACGCAGTTACACCAGGGGATTTGTACTATGAGCACGAAGTGGTACGGCTGTGCGTCGCGGCAAATTTGCAGTCAGGCAAGATGGCGTCGGTCGGTCACCCCCAACTGTACTTTGTTTGCTGGTGAGGGGGTACTTGTGAACGGAATGGATACACACACGTGCTGTCCACTTGTCGAAAGCGCAACGAGGTTGCATGTACTACCCAAGTGTTACCTTGGTAGCACCTCTGTTATGGGTTCTTATTCTGATTACAGGTTAAGTCTGTATTGGAATGAGACATTGAGGCAGTGATTGGACCGGAACCATAAGTGGTAGACTTACAACCCATGACCTCAGACCACCCTTTGACCTGTGACCTCCGACCCTTACCTTCTATCAGCCCTATGGCAGCCTCTTGCGACAGGTTGAAGGCATCCACAGCCTGGGCAATCTGCAGGAGGCCCTCCAGGTGCGAGGCCAGGTGGTCCTGGCAGGTCTTGCAGATGCTCTGGATGGCGGTCGCTGCTACCGAAGACAGCTGGCTGTTCCTCAGACCGTTGGTTAGGAAGTTGAGAATGGGCTCTGCGTGAAAAGAGTTACAGAGCGTCAAGATACCAGAGCCTGTCTAAGGTGTTTTGCGTTTATTCCTAGCTTAAACTGTTGCCTCTGGATTTCTCTTCCTGGGGAACCGAGACCAGTACAGTGGAACGCCACTATAACGAACACCGCGGGATCCACACAAATTGTTCGTACTAACGATAGTTCGGTATAGCCATTTTAAAGTGGCAATGCTCCGGTACTCACTTTTAAATAAATAGCGCTCTTCAGAACCTCACCCAGCATGCCCTGGTACATGTACATGTAAGTACTCAAAGATGACTTTGAACTCATGCCGACAGTTGAATTATGTAATTTCACCATTTTTGAGCTTACTTCCCACAGCGAAAGGTGGCTTTCCCCCACTATTCCTTGGGGAAATGTTAGCCACTTGTCACTTTCTGTTTATATTTTTCAACAACAATATTCAGAACGTATTGTACACAAACATCGGGAGCCGAAGAAGATGTTCGGTATAGCCGAATGTTCGGTATAGCAGTGTTCGGTACAGCGACGTTCCATTGTACATGTCGTTAAGCGACACCCTAAAGCACATTTTGTTTCTTGCTTATCCAACCTAAAAATAAATTTAGATTTTTTTACTCCATCCACACTAGCCCAAGGATGCTTTTTACGGACAAAGGTCATCTCATCAACACTGATTTAGGCCCAAAAAAAATATATTCGGTCTCTGGTCAGACCAAAGTTCTGGAATTGACGTGGCCACGCAGCGTTTTTTTGGGGGGGGCTTTTTTTTTTTTCTACAAGCTTGGATTGTACAGACAAGGTGGGGTACTATTTTGCTTTTTTGGTGTCCTTATGTACATTGGTGTCCTCCATAATATGCCTTGGTGCTTTCGATCATTTGCCTTGGTGCAATTTCCCATTCCTTGGTGCTCTTTGGTAAAAAAAAATTGAGGAGGTGCAGAAATAGAGGGCACTGTTGGAGCTACCGCGGAACATTTTGGAAAAAAAAAAGATCAACGCGCATGATTAAAATCGACACGCGCGCTGACCAGAGACCGACTTATTTTTTTTTTTGGCCTTACCGATGGTCTGTGGGTGAGTATCGATCCACTCCGATAATTCTCCCAGCATCTGGATGCTGGTGTGCTTGACCGCAACGTGGGTCTCATCTGGTAGGGCAAGGATTGCTTGGATGACTTGCGGAACCACGCCGTTCTCATCACTGAAACAACATCCACCAGAAATATACAGTCAACATTTCAACAAATGAAGGGTTATTTTTTGATAAAAACTAGATGAAGTGCAATTGCAAAGACATGTAACCGTTGTATAAACATTAAACCAAACTTTTCGCTAGAAAGGTTGCCTTTTTTAGCTAATATCGCAATAACTGAGTACGTTCAAGGCACTATAAGTTTGAATTTTTGACCAAGACTTACAGTAAATTTGGCCTAATGACCAAAAGGTGGTAATCCACAAATTTGGTTATTTTAATTGAGATTAACATTATTCTAAAATTGAAAGTAATTTTTCCCGCAAAGATTTGATTCAAACACGATATTTCAAAAAAACTAAAAAATTTCTTGCACTTTTCAGTAGAAGAACTGAACATTTGGTGTATTGGCCATAATTTGCGTTGAGAAAAAAATGGAATGAAACTTACGGCAAAACATTCTTAGCAACTGACGACATGACAAACAGTGAGGCCTCCGTGACGTACCACGTGACAGTCGAGCCCTGACTAGCTAAGTTTCGGAACATCTGTACAAATAAAATCAAAAATATGAAAGTGACAAATCAACAAATCTGGACTCTGCGCAAAAGTACCCCCTCAATGTTCACAAAGGGAGAGTTGGGGGAGACCAATGGGAGAGACACTGGAACGCACTGCCGACGGCGCCCGACGCTCACGCAGAGACGCTTTCCGATTTATGCAGATTCAGAATAAAATCAGTTGCACGTACTTCCCGCTATACACACACGAACCAATGCATGCACACAGTCGTGAATTTCTATACGCTCGAGGACAATGCTTTGTGGTTCCCTTTGTCCCTGTAATGTAACACTCTCCCGACGGCGCCTGACGCTCACGCAGAGACGCTTTCCGATTTATGCAGATTCAGAATAAAACCAGTTGCACGTACTTCCCGCTATACACACACGAACCAATGCATGCACACAGTCGTGAATTTCTATACGCCCGAGGACAATGCTTTGTGGTTCTCTTTGTCCCTGTAATGTAACACTCTCCCGACGGCGCCTGACGCTCACGCAGAGACGCTTTCCGATTTATGCAGATACAGAATAAAATCAGTCGCACGTACTTCCCGCTATACACACACGAACCAATGCATGCACACAGTTGTGAATTTCTATACGCCCGAGGACAATGCTTTGTGGTTCCCTTTGTCCCTGTAATGTAACACTCTCCCGCGTAAGGCAGCGTACCTGTGAGAAGCAGGTGGTTGACCCGACCAGGAAGATGACATCTTTGATGAGTTCTGAGACCCTGATCCTGAAGTCACCAAAATCATCGTTCTCGTCTGGGACACCTTCCTGTAACGAAATAAAGGGTCGATAAGGGTCGACACAAAGGGACAGTCAGGCAGATTGGTGCAAAATACGACAGAATTGCTCATTTGATGATTAAAGCATGAAAGTTGGCATGCAGTAAGAACATGCCCTAGAGAAACTTTAGGGCCATCGCAGATTTGCACTTTGAAAAAATATAGGTAGAAATTTTCAAAATGGCTACCGAGGCGAATACGAAGAAGTTTAAATGTCAGCTTAGACAAATCAAAGTAAAAAATTGACAAGCATGCGGAAGTATAACAAAATATCAATCTGAAGAGAGTTTCAAACCAAGCAATATTCATGACATATTTTGCCTTAGTTGTAAATGTGGTTAGTATTGCAAGCAAATGTGCAGCATGAATGCCTGTAATAAGGTCACTAGTTCACACCAGCATTGGCTTTACGCGCCGTGTAAGAACTGGTGTCATATGAAATTTGGACTGCGATGAAATCTGATCTCTTTTAGCTTACAGACAATAACCCTCACACCTGACTTGTCAATGTTCAAATTCTGTCCTCTGAGGTGCGTGCAATTCAACCAATTAAGACAACACCGGCAATATCTCTGGACGAAACTCACATGATCTGAATCCATCTGGCAGTGCGTGCTCAAGGCATTGACGAGCCGCTCGATGTAGGGCCGGTAGATCTCGTTCAGTTTGTCCTGTCGCCTCTTGTAGAGGATCTCGGAGAGGCGGTAGAAGAAGTTGAAGGTGATTTCCGCCACCTCGTACTGGCAGTGACCTACGCAGGTCAGCACAGCATCCAGAATGCTCAAATCTCCCAGACCCTGAGAAGGCACAACCAAGAAATATTGTCCGACATTTAACAATTTGTAACTAAGTCCCCCATATGATTCTCAAGAACAATTTTGTACTTGTTTTTTTCATACGGTGGAAGAGCATACATGTAAGATGCCCTTTATTTTTTAGCCATTACTCAGTTTACCATCATTTTTCTGTGGGTTTTCTTCACTTGAGTGCGAACAAAGAAAACAAGCAAACTCACTTTCTCAAAGGCAACAATTCAGCAATCTTTCAGATGATTTTTTTTTTGTCGCTATCTGATAACGTACGTACCTGATTTGGTGTTTCCACCATGACTTCCATGAACGCTTCAGCCAGTTCTGTGAATATCCTGCTGTAGTTGATCGCCCTGCAAATTTTCAGAATAGGTTTCATTAGATTCCACATGTTAATAGCAAGTCAGAGTGATTTAAGTATTTGGGAGGGGGGGGGGGTTTCAAACCTCAAGTATATCCTTAGTATTGGCTTCTGGCTCTTATGATTTTTCAATGAATTCAATATTGGGGTTTTTACCTTCACCTGTGTAATTCCATTAGGCCAAAAAAAAAAGTCTCCGGTTTCTGGTATGCGCGCGTGTCGCCGTAGCCATGCGCGTCGGCAAAATGAAAAATTTTTTTTTCAATGAGAGATGATGTCTCAAAACCGCCAAACTCACTGGTTTGACTGGAATCCTGCTGCTGCACAATTTTAACGTGTTTTTAGATTGGGTTATGGTCGAGAATAAGCTTTATGTGGCCTCTCTGGACTCCCATATATTTGCACTAAGTTTAGTCGGGCACCATTTGCAGTAATCAGCCGACATTTGAAGCAAAAAAATCAGTATGGGCAAGCTCCATACCAGAAACCGGAGACTTTTTTTTTTGGCCTAAGCTTTGTATACTCAGTCCTGTGGGGTGGGGGGCCTTGCCAGAAAAACAAGGACGAGCTTACTCCTGTGGGACACCAACCAACGACCTTCAGCATACAAGTGCACATGTCTTACCAATCAACAATCCAGCTCGTCAGGAATGGTTCAAACCTGATGTAGCAGTGAGTACCACAACCAAACTCTTGATGGTATTATTTCGTTGGGAGATTTTAATTCAACATCTGGTTCTTGCCTTTCCCTGGCGTATTATCATACAAGGCTTAAAGTACTGCATACTTAGTGCTGTTCGAGGAAAAGGGAGGCTTAGGATTAATAACCCTGCTAAGATTTACTACATACATGTACAAGTACAAAAAATGTACCATTGGTTTCAAGCCTACGGGTATTTGTGGATTTGGGAGAGCCACGAAGGCTGCCATCATAAATGCTGAGGGAATCAAGAATGACTGACCAAATGGAGTGCTTACTTATCCACATCTTCACCAGCGACAACCAGTGCATAGGATTCAGGTAGCTGCATGATACCCCTGTAGAGCGTCTCCGCTAGGGATAGATGCTCCTCTATATCCTCCATGGCATACAGCGCTGAGCAGATACAGTCGCTGGCTGCTTCGTGCAGCATAGAAGGGGTGTCGGGCTTCTTCTGGAAAAATGAAAAACAAAATCAGAAAAAAAATAAGTTTGACAAAAATACTAGCATTTATTCGATACATCTTGCTGTACCACCGAGAGGTTACTACAGAGAGGCCATTTTTGAAGAGTAGGATCTGTGGGAAGGATGGACATCCCGGATCCCAATTGCTGGAATTTAAAGGTACATAGGATCGTTTCCACTTTGTTCAATATTTTTTTCGTTTAAAACAACAAAATTGCACGAAATCTTAAAGAAGGTTGCATAAATAACTAATCTTTTTGAACTTTTAGTTCAGTGGGTATTATAATACATTTTTGAGGGGAAAAAAAGAAAAGATATGCAACAATTTTTAAAGTGTTTCTTATCTGGATTCTGTTGCTAAGAATGCAACTCAAAAAAGTGGCGTCACTTTTGTCAATGCCACCCTTCACCATTCGTGATTAGGGATTTTGTCAAGTTTGTAACAAAAAAACCAGTAAATTTCTACCACTTCTGTGCCCAGTTCTGTTCGCTGGACATTTGGTCTGCGAGCATGCGTTCCTGACTGGCTTTGCGAATGCGCGAACGTATCCCATGGAATTCCTTATTCGCCAGAAGGCAGTACAGAATTCATCACAAACTGAGGGTCCTACTTGTGGCACGCAGGGATGGGAAAGCGAAATAGCTATAAACCCTAACTCCCTTTGGACATCAAGTTTAATTTAAAGGGAAGATACAACATCTGCAAACATCAAAAAACGAAATGATCAAATTATCACAAAAAATCTTACTGGATTGTTAGGGAATGACGGTCAGAAGCATCCTGTAAAATCGTGGCTCCTGGTGTGCTGACATTTTCAAGAGAAACTTTATTTTTCCAGCGCTGGTCGGCCGACCAGCGTTGGAGAAAACTGGCTTATTTTTAAAAACTGCTCCTACTTATTCATATTGAGTTATTCCGCATTTTCTTTGCAATGGATATACACCTGTGAAGAGGTACAAGCCTGCCAGACTGATTCTCTGACCATACAATTCCCCAAAGTCTATAAACTGCTCTGTTTCATCATAAGTGGGGCCAGGGAACCAGTCTTCAAGAACAGGATTGGTTTTCTTGGTTTTTCCAGCATGTACAAGCCCAAAACGTGAAACAAGTCAGTTTAACAGTATTTGCTATAACATTCTAAATCCTCCAAATCCATTTATTCTGAACACTGCAGCAAAAGCGAATGTTGTACATTCCCTTTAAGAACAATTTGTAGAGCTCTACCGTCCTCAATCTTGCGCTACCTTTCAAAACCTCAAGGTAAATTTTTGAAGGACTTGGGAAGATTGGGGATAACAAATGGGTGTAAAGGCTTGAGCAACTCACCAGGACATCAAGGAGCAAGTTGACAAGCGAGCTGCCAGCCACGTCATTGCTGGGTAAGATGCCGGGATAGAACCAGCTAGAGAGACACTTGAAGATCCGGCCTAGAAGACGGTGATCTCCCATGGACGTCTCACAGCAGGCTCCCTGAGAAATCAAAGGTGGACAAGAATCTTCCTGAATCCTTCAAATTCTAACACTGTGCAATTTACACCACCAATAGGGATCTCCCACTGTGTTCTCCAACCTGTAAAAATAACCTGGTGCCCCGCCAAGCTTTCTGAGGCACCCGCCAAGCTTCAAAAGTTGCTGCCAAGCTTAAAAAGTTTGCCCGCCATGCTTAAAAAAGGAAAAAGTAATTAAAAAGACAAACAAGTGCCACTACCCTTTCCCTCCAGGGTATATCTTGGCCAGAAACTCTACCAAAAGCAGTAACATGCAATACTTGTCAAACTGACAAGCCTGCCCATTGTAGCAATCAATCAGGTCAAAAATCTCAAGGCCAAATTGCCTCAGAGTCCCTGGTCACTGATGTGTTAAAAAAGATGATGGTGAGCCAGTATTGCACTAAATTGTTAGAGTTACTGTGTTAGAAAAGCTGTTTTCTGTACATAAATTACATGTTCATCTGCCCTTTAGCATAAAGAAATGTATGACTGCAAAAAGCGCCCCAAACATAATTTTAGCGCCCCCACCCCCTCCGCTTTTTGATGGTGCACCGACCTTTAATTTTCGAAGTTGAAGTTGGCACTGACGCACATGACCCAGCCTACATCTGGGTACGTTCTAAACCTTTAGTTCTGATTACCCAAGTGGACCTCAACACAATACCATTTATCATTTGTGGTAAACACTTACCATGATTCGGACGACCGTCGGAGCGACCTGGGCCAACTCGTGAGTGAATTCTTCTCTCCTGTTCATGCCGAGACGTAGGGACCGGCTATGGACCTCTTCTGGTAAGACCGTCAGTAACTCAAGGAGGATCGGAATCTGGGAGGTACCAGCAGCAAACCTACAAACAAGGATCAAGTATTAATTAAACCATTTCCTCAAAAAGTAAACTAAAAATAAAATAACACAAGAACCTCCTGGAAGAAGTTAAGAATTAAATAATGATAATAGTAATCGGCACTTAAGAATGCTCTTATTAGTAAACTAAATCACAGCGCTTACAGTATTATTACCCCTGATCATTGGACCAATTAAACATTCCAAATACCATCTCAGCTCCCTGGGGAGTATACAGCTCGATGCTGCCTGTTAGGCGCAAGGAAGCTAAATCAATCACAATAACCATCTCTGCCCTCACAGGTACCCATTTACTCCTGGCTGGGGAGAAGCAATGAGTGACAAAGTGCCTTGCTCAAGGGCACATGCACCATGACCCCGCCAGGACTCGAACCCACAACCTGCAGAATTACCCACAGACCAAGAATTCAATGCCCTTAACCATGAGGCCATGGCACTCCACTAAAGTTTGAGATTGCAACAATTTGAACTGAAATATTCAGAAACTGCTAAAATCTTCTGTCAGGTTTTCACAAATCAGGCATGGCATTTGACCCTCGGTCAAAAAATAAGCAAAAGTGTCCTGCAGTATGGAATGCTGAAAATGGAGCAAACAATAGGAAATTAAAGAAGAAAAAAATAGGAAATCCTATTAAAATCGGAAAACGATATTGCCTGAGAAATACACTTGTTCAGATCCAACTTCAGTTTCAATCTTCTTCACGTCAATCTTCTACACAGCCTCCCCTAGAATGATGGCGGCCGACAGGGTTACCCTAAAAAATATGGTTTGAAGTAGATGAAAATATATAAGATCTACCAACGCACCTCTGAATCAGATAATTTGGAGAGTTCTTCCACATAACCATCTGCAGTGCCAGGTCGGACAGGGCCAGGCATAGCTGGGTCAGGATGATCTGGTAGTTGGGATCGTTGAGGCTCTCAATGTGGATGATGAGGGAGTCCCTCAGGGCTTGGTGGGAGTCCGGTGGTAGCTCGTGGAAAGAGTATTGGATCTGGGGAATGATCAGAACAAAAACGCAGGTGAAATATGTGATGCAATCAAGCTGCAAAAAAAAGATGCAAGATCAAGATGCAATAAATGAGTCGTTTGTCTGAAATTATGATTTTAAGATGGACATTCCAAAATTCACTTTTTCGTAAAATCAGAAGGTCACATATGTCCTCTTTCATGACAACTATTTTTTTTAATGAGAAAAGCTCACGATGAAGTAGTTAAAATGTGACATTTTTGATAAGGAGTTCATATTCAATAACCTGAAATAAAGCCTGTTTATCGTTGCTTAATAAACACTTCAATTTTGAATCGTTGATTTCTCTGTTTTCTTCTTTCTGATCTGCCTGTGTTCTTAGTTCCATTACTTCTGAACGGAAGGTCGTATTCACATGGGGTTTTCATCAAATATAAACTGAAAGATAGCTCTATTCAATAATGTAAAAAAAAAAAAAAAAATCGATAAGGGCCGACAAACGACTCATTTAGCTTGATCGCATCACATATAGTATCAGTACTTCATGTGTCCAGTGTGAGATTTTTTTTTATGGAAGGTTGTTTGTATGAGTCGCACATGGTTTTGGGAAGAACTGATTGACTTGACACTTTTGGAAAGTAGGCTTTTTTATCTTCATTTTAAAAAAAGTTCTTCATTTCTGGACACAAAATGTATACCAAGTTCATTCAGCAATGCATTCAGCCATTTTCACTGATGTATAAACAAGGTTCCCACAGAAATCTTTGAATGAAATTTCGTGAATTTGGGCTTTCCATCACCAGTTCCTATGTGTTTCGGCATCCGGTGTATTTACAATACAGTCATCATATCGAAAACAATGGTCCGTGTAGTGTGCATTACCATCAACAAGATGGCCTGCACCTCCCCTCACAGCCATCCGATCCGCCCACTTTTTTTTAGGTCAGTCTTGCATGTCACCCAAAAATCTTAAGGCATTCTGTCACTGCCTTCCTACCGTAGCAGTTCATGGTACTACAAAGTGCTGAACACTACTAAAAGCACATGAAGTATATAGGAATTAACACATAGTAAATAATAATAATAACGTGCTTATGTAGCGCTTTCCATCGTATCAACGATCTCAAAGCACTTTACAACTATTACCCCGTTCATCAGGCCATGGGACCACGCGGCAGCCGATATCAGCGCTCAATCGGTCCTCGACCCTTACAGGTACCCATTTATACTCCTGGGTGGAGAGAGGCAATTGTAGTTAAGTGTCTTGCCTATTAAACACCATGTTCCTGGCAGGGTTCAAACCCACGCACCTTCATACATGAGTCAAACACCGTAACCACTGGACCATGGCATTCTACAGTACGCATCATCACTTATTGGTTGTGCAGGATTCCATGACTTTTTACTTGGAACATCAATTTTCCATGACTCCTCATAAAATAACAAAATTTATTCTACGCCAAGATACAGCACAGTGACCCTGTTTGATGAGGAGCACACACAGACTAGGGCTGTGCATTGGAACATGGTACCCAACCGCTGATGTCAGGAACCAGTTCCAGATTATGGAAAAGAGTACATCCGTAACCAACTTTACAAATTACTTAGGACTTTTCAGCAGGGTTCGACCTTAACTTTTTTGTTCACTAGCCAGCCGGGCTACTGAAACAGACTCTTAACTAGCCCGCAGGCATTTTCACTAGCCCGCACGTTTTTTCTTTTACAGAGTGTCTCATAAACAACAATGTGCATACATGTAAAACCTGTATCCTGAGGCAATCTTGTCAGTGTAATTTAATAAACAGATCAAATAATTCCACCCTCTAAAGGTAAACAGTTAATATAATTAGACACAAAATTGAGATACAGGTTTGCTTTCTGAATTTATTGAAAGGTTTTGAATGCCACTTGTGGGGAATTTTCAACACGAAAACTGGGATACATTGAAAACTAAAACATATTTCACGTTTATGTGCATTTTAACGTGTAACAGATGACGCTCGCAAAAGTTGCAGTTTACATCGTAAATGTATAAAGCTCTTTCGACAACTTCCAGGATTTGAATTTTGGGTGTTGAGTTTCTTTTACGGGTACCCTGATACCCGTGTTTTACTTCAATAGGGCACCTAGTTCAAGTACTACCCATAAATGAACATTACTGGCATTAACCCCCTCTACCCTTCAGCACACTGCTTGTGAAAGCCCATGGATGTACACACACCTTGGATCGCATTGTCTGTGCAGCAAAGTAACACACCTCCACGTCTTGCTTCATCCTCAACAGCTGGTCTGAGATCTGCCAGGAATGCACCTGTGACCAAGAATACAAAACAAAAGCAAAGACAGTCAATTACTGGTTCCAGCAACGATGTTGAATTTTTGACAACTTGATGCATGGGGGGGGGGGGGAGTACAAAACGAAAAACAGAAACAGTAGGCCCTACATTGTTTGTTCAACTTGATTCATGACGGAAAAGAGACAATTTCACGCTGCTGCTTAAGCTTGTGTTTTAGTCAAAAAGTTGTTGACTTTCGTAATTTAGTAATATACCTATTTTATAAGTCAAATCCTCAGATGGGAGCTTAGTAGCAAGGTCATCCAAGAGAAGAAAAAAAGAAGAAAAAAAGGAGGCCGGCAGGAAAAAGGAAGCAGTCAGGGACGATAAACTGGTTTATTTTTTTACTTGGCCTTATTTGCTTTAATACATTACTTTGAAATGTCACTCCCCATTTACATGTAACAGTGTTAAAATTGAATGATGATAGATGATATTTTTTATTCTAAAATTAACAGCAAAGTTTCAGGGCCACAAGAAAAAACTCCCATAATCTTATAGTGAAGTGTTGCTGAAACTACATGTATCTTGGGTTTTACACATGGAAGAACTCTAACTTCCATTTTCAAAATATTTGGCAGCTCAATAATTGCGTGCAACTTGCCCGTGATTACACAAAACTTACCGATCCCATGTGAATTGAAAAAGAAGTTATCAAAATATTAAAAAGAAAAAAAAAACACTTCCTGAAATACTCCTTAGTCACAGACGCAGACAAATTTTGGAGTAATTTTTAATTGGGGCTGGGAATACTCAGAACTCTCAAGTGAGTTTGGCAAGATTACAGGAGAAGATAAGCCAGTCCCTAGTTGTTTACAAATCAAGTATTTCCTTGAATTATGAGCCTCTATTTACTGACAGGAAATTGGGGCAAGACTTGACCTTCGTTGCTTCAAAGTCTGGCTCAATCTTCTACTGCTTCTGCATGTGTACCAAATGTACACATTTTTTTTTAAAGAAAGCATGGAACTCCTAGCCTATGGAATCTACATGTAGATATGCCCGAGCAAGCGTCTATGATATAACAATAATCGACATTTAAGAACGCTCTTATTAGTAAACTAAATCACAGCGCTTACAGTATTATTATTACCCCTGATCATTGGGCCAATTAAACATTCTAAATACCATCTCAGCTCCCTGGGGAGTATACAGCTGGATGCTGCCTGTTAGGCGCAAGCAAGCTTATTCAATCACAATAACCATCTCTGCCCTCACAGGTAGGCCTACCCATTTACTTCTGGGTGGAGAGAAGCAATGAGTGACAAAGTGCCTTGCTCAAGGGCACACGCACCATGACCCCGGCTGGACTCGAACCCACAACCTGCAGCTTTACCCACAGACCACGAATCCAGTGCCCTTAACCACGAGGCCACAGCACTCCACATATTCAAGCAGATTATGACAACAAAAAGCAATGGCAGCCATTGACCAATCAACAGCTTTCTGCTCTAAATGACGTCACAACTTCTAAAAGCAGAGCTCCGATTGGCTGGCACACGAGGTCGCATGAAATTTGCATGTACATGTAGGGAGTGTGGCTCTGCACATGTGAACCTCTAATCTTTGGACCATGGAAGTCCATGAAAAATTGTGGGGTTTTTTTAACCCACGGCTTTCTCTAGATACACGTACATGTACCAGTTTAGTCCAAAAATTTCAGACTCTCAATACTGTGTTTGAGAGTCCCAAAACTTAAGGTATTGAAAACATGCAAAACAAGAAAATAGACTGGCACCTAAAACAACCAGTCTAGCAACTGCATCAATCAACTTTGCCAAAAGAAACATCTGCCATATCTGGTACTAGTCTCTATTTCTACACATTTTTCCATAATCAGCCACCAGACTAATGACAATGCATGAAGAGGTCAGTATTTTGAAACAGTAGGATCATAATTGGACATGTACACAATGTACATTGTACCAGTTTAGTCTTTAGCCTCGTCACTTGACTTCCCTCTCAGGTGCAAAATATTGAAGAAAAGTCTCCTGTACAAATTAAGTTGAGTCTTCAAACTTGGTTGGTGAAATACTGAGAACCTTTTCTTTGCCCAATGAAAATTTGGGAGAATTTTGCTGGCTAAAGAGTGAGTAAAGTTGGCCTGATTTCGTTTTGCATGTTTTTCAGCCCTCAAGGTCCCAGTTTGGTACCAGTTACACTTTACTTCAAACTGAAAGGCTGAAGCTTGAATGATTAAATAAATATTTTGATCTTGAGAAGGATGGTAGCATCAGTGAGTATACAGCAGCAGCAAGATCGATTTGCATAACATGACATCACAGCTTTTGGGTTATCAAGTTCTCACATTCAACATGGCTGCCATCAGCAGCATGAGGGCGCACTATACACCGAGCATTACTAGAGTCAAGCAACAGCCACCGAGCCTGCTGCGCGCCATGTGACTGACAGCTGTTGATCTGCAGGTCAAGCTACCAGCATGCATTGCAGTTACCTCGCCATGTTGGAATTTAGTTACACTCAAACATGTATAACGAGTCTCAATATTTTGTGTTGTCGGGCGCGCGGTGCGGGTGGCGTCAGACGGGCCAATCACGAGGCCACATGATAAACGCTGCGGATAATTTGGAATCGCACTTACGATCCGGACATGAGGAGTGCCCGTCTGACGCCGCCCGCGATATGCACTATAACGACAGTGTCTGTGGTCGGTTCCCAGACCAAAAGTCTCTGACGTCACGCCAACAACGTTCTCCAGTGTTTGTCTCCAGTGTTACATGTTAAATTCCTGACATGAGAATGTCAGCTGGAGTTACTCTAAAGCTAGTCCTGGATGAGAAGTTAATCTCGCTCAAAATCATTAGCAAATTCGCTAATTCAGTTTCAGGCATCCAGGGGACGTTTGCTGTTCTTGCTGTACTACAGAGCTTGTGAAAGCATACGGCCGGATGCATTCGGGCAACAGTACCAAAATGTGCTCTAAAAAAAACATTCTTCATGAAATTTATTCACATTTCCAGAGCTTCCTGGATTTGTCTGCAGACTTCAATGAAATCATAAGGTAAGGTGAGCATTGATGTGTTTTGCGGCCGATAGGTGGCAGTCGAGTATGGAACTCATTCCGAAAGAGGGCAGGGTTTTGATTATGAATGGAAAGTTTGTTAATCATGACATAGCCTCATAGGGGCCTAGACTGCTAAGTTAAGTAGACTGCCTAAACTACATGATTAGGGCCTACATGTACATAGCCCCATAAATTTGGCCAATTTACTGGACTACCTCCGTAAATGAAGGCCACACTTCCACCATGTACAAAAACATGTCGAACTTTGTCAAATGTTGATTTTCACATTTAGGCTTAGTTTGTAGTTTATTTTTGCTTTAGAAGCATACTCACCCTCTTTATTGGCTAATCAGAAAGTGCTGCCTTTTTCAGATGTCTTAATTTACGCGAAATTTCATGTTGAGATTTTGATACACAAACGTGTGCAAACGAATATGGAAATTTCACGAAAAATAGACATCTGAAAAAGGCAGCACTTTCTGATTAGCCCATAGAGGGTGAGTATGCTTCTAAAGCAACAATAAACTACAAACCAAGCCTAAATGTGAAAATCAAAATTTGACAAAGGTCAACATGTTTTTGTACGGTGTCGGTCGTTTCGTACCCAATTTGTTTCGTACCCAGGTCGTTTGGTTACCCAGGTCGTTTCGTACCCAAGATTCATTGCACACGTGACAAAGGGTTCCAAATCCTTTTCTATTGAAATAAAAGGGACAAAATATGTATCTATTAATGTATATATTCTCCAGTTACCCGGGTTTTCAAAGGGATAAGGCTTTTCCTTTGAAATGAAAAAAAAAAATTTGTAGATCCCAATACAATAGATTTTAAATTGGTTTATTGTGTTATTCCAGTGTAATATGTTCTTTCAATATGAGTTTTAAAAATTCAAAAAGGGAAAACAATCTTTAAAGGTAGAGTCCATCATTTGCAGCCATCCGAAAAGTAACTGGCGTAATTATTGTTGAAAAACTAACTTGGTTGAAAGATAGTAAGGAGACTAAACTCCCTGTGAATTGTTCTTTCTGGGAAGCTGTCATTTTGAAGTAATCAACGAAAGAAGGCATTTCCAACGGTGATTCTTAAGAAGCACCGTAGGAAAATTTAAATTAGTAGTTCGTTTTGTTATTCAGCGCAGCGCGCACAAGTATTCGAACGACGCACACGCGCGCGCGGTTGTTATAATTCGTCGGATCAGTGTGCGACGTCGCGTATAGTTGCAATTCAAAACAATTCAAAAACATGATTCAGCAACTTTTGATTTGAAATTGAGATCTTAGAATGCTGTTTTTCTCAGAATGTACAGCTGAAGCTTAGCTGAAACTTCATCAGGTTAGTTGCTCAGTATCCTTCATTAGATTTTGAACTTTTTTGTTGCTTCAAACGAACAAAATGCACAAATTACAAATGATGGACTCTACCTTTAAGGGCGAATCGGAAGATGATTACGTTCATAAAAACGGGAACCAAATGTGTTTTCCAAAGGATTTTTCGCCGCTAGAGGGCCCACATTCGGTAGCTAGGTAGCTACTGTGCGTGAATGCCACCGCATTGGTCGAGACTTCATCAGTTTTAATACACATTCTGAGGCAGAATGATTGGCAGTGAAACAGACAGCCAGTTATGTAGGACGTAATCTAAATCCCTGGGAACTTGATAATGATGCTGCGCGTTGATGACGTCACAGGAGCGGGTTTGCATGACTGGCTTAATCTCCTTTGTGCATCATAATTGCTGGGTACGAAACGACTTGGGTACGAAACGACTTGGGTACGAAACGACCTGCTTCGTTTTTGTACATGGTGGAAGTACTACAAGTGTGGCCTTTATTTTACGGAGGTAAATAAATGGCCACATTTTGGGGCTAGGGCCTACCCTAAAACAAAAAAAGCCGGCGCAACCAATATCACATATTTATATATGAGGCAATATGAGAAAATCGCCGTGAAAATAAAGTTTACTAAAAATAAAATATCGACCAAAAAGCCACTGCCTAGATTAATTCCTACTGTCCGGAAACTGGCACATGTTAATTGTACACTCATTCAATGCACGCTCATCATGTCATACGGAACTGATATAAAAACTCACGGATCGTTGGAATTCCTGCAGCCACCGGGACGCCCTTTCCTTCTCTGAGGCATCAGGATTGTGGTAGAGGGCCGAAATGGCCTGAATAACCGTCTCGATGGTTGGTGGTGCATCCATTTCGAACTCAAGAAAAGGGCAAAATCTACTCCCTTTCGCGGTTCCTACTCGGAGTTTAGTCCATGCAAATAATTTTACTGAAGTTTCGCCGCATGGCGGCGCTATACAATCTTATTATTATTTGGAGTCTATGACTGTCGACTGAGTCTAGTAGTCTGTGAGTCTATACGGTATAGTACATTTTTCTCGTCTTCCACCACAGTGATCCGGGTTCGATTCCCGCCTGGGCCAGTATGTGGATTGGGTTTTCCACCCTGCCTGATTCCGTGGATTTTCCCCAGAATATTAGTCTGGGGGGTTTCCTCCGAAATCTAAAAGTGTACACTTCTTGTCATTGTCTTCTCTCTACAGGTTTCTTCATAATAGGCCAGAAAAAACATTTTGACAAAAACATAATTATTAACAACCATATAATCTATTATTTGGGGGATTTCTTTGAACTTGTTCAAGACCCCCACGTTAGGCAACCCTTCGCCTAAGGTTTATAGCGCAATTTACGGACACCTCATTTTCCCCCCTTTTTTGTTTGTTTTGTTAGGCAACCCTTTGCCTAAGGTTAAGCGCAATTTACGGACACCTTCTTTCCCCCCCCCCCCTTTTTTTGTTTTCTGGGCTAAATATTATGATTTTATCATTGTTCACATGATTTTCCATATAGTTTTACTGTGCCAATAGGGGCCTAAGTAACTTTGTGAATTGCATGCTCATCAATATCGAGGTTTGGCAAGACTACTTAATGATATCAAGGGAAAAGTTAAATGAGCACAATTTTAGGGCGGGTAGCTATTTTTAATTCCTCATAATTATCCATTCTCTTATATGATTTAGAAACTATTATTGAAGCAAGGATAATTAGAATCCAAAAATATACTTTTAAACATAAAAAATACATTAATACCAAAATATGGGAATAAATATATTACACGGAGGCTATTTACGACTTATGCAAATAAGGAAGCCTTCCCAAAATAATTTCAGGTGTCAACACTTCTAAATATCTTCTTTAGGGCTATAAGAATCTATCTGCCAAGTTTGGTGCTTTGGACCAGTCGGTCACGATTCCGACCATATGCCACCTGACTAAAAAGCGACGTATCTTCCAAACAAACAAAAAAAATAGTTCGAAGTCAATTTTTTAATGATATACTTTAACTTGCGTGACAAATTACAGGTCAGGTGTAACAGGGGCACCAAAAAAAGGTCACTCTTTTGGACCTCTGATTCATCATGACCCCTATATTTGTTTTTGGTAATCATAAAATTTGCTTTATTTTTTATTCCGCTGGGTAATTTATTAAGCGGTGCGTTCCGAAAACTTCAGTCTTTTTCAAAACTACTGCAATGTGTACATTTTTGAGCCCGTCTCAACTTTTTTTTTTTCAAATTGAAAATGTACGCGTTTTCATGATTTTCACACTGCCATATCGAATTGGAGTGAAGTCCAATAAAATGCATAAAGCACACTCCAGGGTGCGCATGAAGACTTTTTCGTGATAATGAGGAAACGAAGGCACTATTGGCGGTGGCGTAACTAAGAGTCTGGGCCCATGGGCGTCGTCGCCAGGATTTTTTCTAGGGGGGGGGGAAACATATTTTTCCCAAAAAAATCTTGTATTTCTCAACAAATTCTCGATTTATCAGTTTTAGAGGGGGGCAGGGACATTTTTGCTTTTCCGGGGGGGGGAGCGCCCCTTGCCCCCCCCCCCCCCCCCTCGCGACGCCCATGTGAATTGGCCGTGTTGGGCATGGGGGTTAATACCTCCCCACCCCCTTCCTCCTGATTTCTGGGCCCAGATGTATCCCTCCCCCTTAGGCACCGCTTAGAAGGTTGGGCAGACAAAATGAGCTTATTATTGTTAAATACCCATTGAATGCATCCCCTATAAGATAAGACCCCTTGAGTAACCCCCCCCCCCCCCCCCCCCCCCCCCCCCCCCCCCCACACACACACACACACACATCCCCTTTTCAAGACCCAGTTGACTCAGACACAAGGATGCAGAAATTTAAGAACAAAACGTAGGCGGGGATCGGGAGCACTTTGGCTGATATGGTGTCATTTATGTAATGATTTTACAGGCTACCCCAGCGCACACAATATTAAGTTTGTCTTAAAATAGGGCTTTGCTTATCGATGTTGAAATTCCTATTCTCCTCATGTACCTATGGTCGATGACGCATATGTGTGCGCTAAATTTCATCAGCTCTGCAGTTCGGTTGGCTGGCAATTTTAACGCTTCCGTTCAAGATCCCGGTACATAGTACATGGTGATCAGTTACAGTCAGATACAGGGTGCACTGAACTAATTCAAGTGAGAATTTCTACGCGAGTCATTAGCATAAAAAGTGCCCCCACAATTTCTTTTGAAAACGGGTACCGTTTGGCTTTAAAAACGGTGGAATTGTGTAAATATACCCAAAGATCAACTCCCTGGTTTTTGGGCTTCCATCTGAGGGCAGGCTTGATAAAATTACGGATAAAAAAATGGGTCCTATTCGCCTGTGAAAGTGGAAGGATGCCGCTTGTGAAATGGCTACATGCAGGCTTGGGAACTATCACTTTTCGCCGAAAAGTGATTCACACCCAAACAAAATCACCTCGGAGTTGATTTTGTTTGGGTGTGAATATTTAAAAATGTAATTAGCTAATGTACCTAAAATTGGGGGGAAAAATGAAAAGATGAAAGACAAGACAGTAATTTTTTTTTTTTGAAACCCCAGTGATGTTGGCTTGCATGTTATTTGGCCCTGAACTTTGTTGATTTTACACTGTTTTCAATGGGGCTTGAATTAGTACAGCGGACCCTACGTGAGAATTTGACCCCTAAAGCGTCATAGCGCCCTCTGTTAATGAAATACGAAGGAGTGGAAAAGTACGTGGTAACTTGCTCGCATCACTTTCAGTTTCAGAAAATATTTTGATTGGAAAAACATTCTAATTGCACTGGAAATTTCTGCTAGGAGAACAGACAAAATCACACTACTTCGTTTATTATTTTTCATTTCTTTATTATAAACTTTACTGTAAACCGTTTGGACATTTTGATACACTTAAAGCGAGCTAAAATAATGTTTCATATATCCTTCACTTCATGTTTCATAAATTTCGAAAAGTATAAGTAAACAATACAAAACATGAAAGTTTCGGGATTCCAAGCCGCAATACCCCTTTAAATTTTCCCGGTGCAAAATACATGTAATTATGATAAAATAAAATGTCGTCTAAATCACCTTATCTGCGATTTTTGTATCCTAAACAGAAATGGCGACCAGCCCTGTCTACAGGTGGACGATACTTCTCACAAAAAATTATCAATTGTTTTTTTATTTCAAAGCAAATGCAAAACTCACCATCACCAAAGGTGCCTTTCTTTTTCATTTTTTTTGCATAATTATCCTGGTATTTTATGGTGACAAAGTTGTCAGAAGACAATGTAAATCAAAATTACACACAATATCCAAGCACTCTTTTGCCCCGGGATAGCCTACAGTGACAACTAAAATAAAGAAACTTCGGAAATAAAATGCAATCTTAAACATATTTAATATCAACTAGAACTTACAAGAAAAATAGCGAAGACATGGTGAGATGTTGTCCCGAGTCAGGCTGATTGCCATTAAATTTCAACGGCCGCGCCATTAAATTTATAGTCCGCTGAACTGTAATTAATCCAAAATATCGGATCGCCTGCGTAACAAAATAGTTCCATAACACATGAAAGACTTTTTAATTTAGTTTTCTTTCGGATGCTAAAACAAAAAGTGGACCTCATGTCGAATTTAGGTAGGATGGGTCGTTCGACATTCTCCCGCCGGTACCCCCACTGGCTTGAAGCGTGTGAACCCTCATAAATATTGTGTACGAAATGGTAATTTTCTACAGTGATTCACACCAGGTGAAAGAGAATTCGTTTAAAATTCATGTCACTAGTTGTGCTGGTAACATCTGTCAGCAGTCTGCAGCTTTCATTTATAGTTCAACTTGAATAATTATTGAGATATATCCCGGTACATGCATCCAAAAGGTTCAACTCGCTGGTCGTTTGTAGTCTGGCTTACGCCCCTGCATAGCTCAGGATAGCCGACCTGTCACAATTTCCTGGAATGACAACCAGTAAAACAGAGGCAGTGGCCATACTTATATACCTGTAGTCATGGCAGACTGGTAATAAAAAAAAAACCGCGGACCTTGATCGAGCTGTACGAGCTGAGAAATAATGCACGTACAATGCGCACGTTGATGCTTCATCAGCGCAGATGCGGGTATCTCTGGAGGCGAGTGTGAGCGTATCGTACGTGCGAACTCAGTATGCACCGCAAGGAATCATAATGACAAGCGAAATGTGCTGGTGATTTGGGCACGGTGTGAGAGTACGCCTAATACTTCACCTTCCCTGATTCCATTATATTAATTCTCTGACCCACATAGTATCGACGCTCTGTGTCTGCACACACGCAGTGGACGACGAAGAATCTTCTTTTTGCACTGGATGATTGAGGCTTCAAACCCGAGCTGTGCGCTTTATTAATAGCTGGACCCAGGTGTTTGTATAAAACTGGGGACGGGAATTTTACTTGGACCATCATGTAACGGACGTGTGAAATTACATACGGGAAGAAGTATCAAGTGGGCTTGGCCGAATCTGCCGGTGGTGTTCGGCGGTTCACTCGGATCGCTCAACGGTGAGCTGCTTCACGCGGAGACTTGGAGAGATTCTGTCAAGCAGCTGAAGGTAAGAGACATTGCTGCCGTTTATCGCAGTAAGTGGAAAATTGTCACATCGAAAGCGATTTGAATAATTGATTGGCTATCGTTTCTGGTTAAAATGTATGCGGTGCCGTTAAAATGCTTGCGCACACGAAGTATGTAAAATGTTTCATTGCTCGCTAAATACTAATGCGATACATGTACATGTATACTTGGGCTTTTTGTGACAGTGAAGATATCACCTCGAATGGGTCCTTTATATTGTTCATCGCGCAACGCACCATTAGATTTTCTTCCTTTTTTCAGTTGCGGCTCAAAGCAACTCGGTGAGGTTGGATTATAGTCATGATGTATGTTATTTATA